TCAAAAGTTCACTAATCACTCACCACACAACCAAGAATGTTTTATCAACTCAAAATTCACAAAGATCAAATAATATTTTTAATCATTCAAAATAAGATGAATGAGAAAAGTAATCCTTCGAATCTAATTCACACTGTCACTTTAGTCCGTATCTAAACACACACTAAACAATTCACAAAATCACTTGCACTGAGTCCCGCACTTTGTATTTTCACTGTTCACACGCGGCGCCGGTTTTTTGCGCTCACTAGAACCCCGATGTCAACGAATTTTAACTACGCGACGCGCGACCACCTGTTCCACGCGCGGTCGCGGAACGACTGACTCCCCACTCAGAATGGCAAGCGTTGCAGGCGGCACTCGAGTGGGGGGGTCCCCCGGCGATACTCCGCGCATGCGCACAGAACACCCCGCATGCGCACACAAGACTGCTCGAGTGGTGGGACTAGTGGGTCGCCAGGCGATACTCCGTGCATACGCACGCACACCGTCCGTGCGTACGGACCACCGCGGGCAGTCTCAATTTGACGAGATACGATAATTGCGAAAATTCTTAACCTAATAAATAATTTTCTCTTAAAAAAAACAGTGCAATCACGTAAAATCCAATAGTCAGTGAAAAATACTTGATTGAAGAGAATTTAGCGTGTGGATTTTGGTCTTGACCACCAAAAACACTTCGATTGGATTTCTGAAACGGGAATGGGAGTATCAGATACATTGAATTACGTTCTGTTTTCTAATCCCGTCAGCTCGAGTGCCGGTTCGCTTGTGAAAACTGCTGCATCACCTGTAAGTCGCTGTTATTTTTTAATAAAAAATAAGAGGAATCAATTTATTTATTGTTATTGCCTGATTTTTGGAGACTGAGTAATGCTTCTATAGTTTATTCTATTTTTGAAACTTTGAGGTCATGTTAATACCACACATCCCATAAACCAAGGCCATATTTTACACTTTTTCCTGCTATTTTCAATTATCATTTTTTAAATAGTCCCACCAGTGCCGAACAGCTGCAGAGTGGGGATGACATGGAGATGAGGGGAAGGTGATAGTGACCGCCACGCTGTCTCGTGCTGCCTGAGACAACTTGTCCCCTGTTTCTGGCTTGACAATACCTGCTTGTATCATACCTTAGGAGTGTCTGCATCAATCCTCTTTGATCTCAACGATCACAACCAGAAGTACCGCTTCTCGTTCGTTGGATAAAAATGCTCCTCTATTCAAGTGAACTCAGCTGATCACAAAACATAACTATATGTTGCAGTCTCCACCCTCGTCTTGCTTTATAACCTCAAAGTGGTGCTATACGGAACAGCCTTTCACTGACATTTCAACGTTTTTAGATTAAACAATGAACAATTCAAAGAAAATAAACGTTAGTTACTCTTCTCTCGTGGGATTGAAGGCTGAGCTTCTACGAAAACAGGCAGAGGTCCAGGAAGCTAGAGCTAAACATAAAACGCAGTCTCCAACAGTCTTGAGACCCAAGTTAAAATCCAAAACATTGAAACAATCATCGAAAACTAGTGATTCAAAAGTTACAGAAATCGAGGATGTCAACGAACTGAAGAAATCTAGATATATGCTGGAAGCAAAGTCCAGACTCTACGAAAAACTGAAGAAAACCCATGGGGATAGATCTCACAATTATCTAGTGGATTTCTCCCACAAGCCTATCTCCTCGTCTTCTTCAGAGGATGAAATTTACAATGAAGAAGATTATGAGGATAAAAACTCAGATCCTGAAGACGACTGGGTGGAGTACAGTGATTGTTTTGGCAGAACTCGAAAATGTTTACGAAGAGATCTTCCAAAAATGGAGGAGAAGGACAAAATGGTAAAACAAGAGATCAGAGAAGATTCTTCTTCAGATACCGAAGGCCCTCCAAATCCTCCACTGTTCATTCCTCCTCCGAAAGAACCAGAAATAGAAAAGTTACGGAAAAAATGGGAGGAGCAGACGGAAAAATTATCTCATAAACCAGATATTCATTACCAGGACATTCTCTTTGATGAAGCAAGAGCACACGGCGTCGGATACTATGCATTTTCCCAGGATGAAGATGAAAGATTGAAACAACAGGCGAATCTCTTGAAAATACGTAAAGAAACCGAAGAGCGACAGAGAGACGTTCAAAGTGTCAATGAGTTAAAAGCTCAGATCGAGAAAAATCGATTGAAAGCTGCCAGAATTCGTCAAAGGATTCGAGCAGGTCTTCCTGCTGAACCAGATGAAGAAGAAGAAACACCAAAACCTCCAGTCCAGCCTTCAACAACTTCTGAGCCCATCGAGAACCTAGAAAAACCCTCGAAAGCGGATGAGCAAAGTGAAGACCATTCTCTTTGCGTTATTGAGGACAAAATCAAAGCTTTTGCAGAACTATTGGGTAAGCGACCAAAATTCAGGGAATTATCCCAAGAAGAATGGATTCATAAGAGGCGAAAAGATAGAATGGGAGAATTCGCTCCTGTTTATGAGAACTTTAAACCTGGTGGTCTTTTGAAGGGAACTGGTGATAATCAAATTGTTGAAACTGATGATCAGAATGAAGATCCTGTCAGGATTAAGGTCGGGGGACCTGAGCCTACTGATTTTTGGGAGTCCCAGGGGCCCTCCAGAGGTCTCAAGGATGAGAGAATAAGTGGAGTGATCGATTCTGGAGGTAAACGCAGAAAGAAAAGGGAAGAAATTGATAAATCAGAAAATAATTGCGAGATAGAAGATTCAGATATTATTGGCCCTGTTCCACCAGCCAATTTTATTAACTCTACGTTGATTAATAATAGCGATCCTCCTGTCATTTTCGAGAATTCAATGCTCAATTCTTCTGTGAATGATGCATCAATGACGATTATTCCCCCAATTGAAGTTTTGAGATCTGTTCCCCCGCCAACATTCCAAGCGAATTTTAATGTTTGTACTGTGAAATCAAGTAGTGCTCAATGGAATGAAGGGGATATTGCAGAGAAAACACAGGAAGGGGAAGAAAGTGATGACTCTGATATCATTGGGCCTCTACCACTGGAGGATACCGAGAGAGGACATCTTGCAGATATTCCACTTCCAGAAGATTCATTAACACCATTACCACCAACTTTACAAAGTAATCTAAATATCGATAAAATATCTGAGGGACTCAAATTTTTAAGGAAAAAGTTTGAAAAATCTGAGGATAGTTGATACGAATGTATTAAATTATTTATTGTTTAACTTGAACGATGATATAAAATTTGATCGAAGCCAGTGTTTGATTGAGTTTATTGTTTTTTAATAATGTTTATCTTCTTCTCTGAGATTTACGGGCTTTTGATGTTTTAGGATTTCTGACAGAAGATACATCGTCCTCGTCTAAATCCATTGAATCGTCCTCATGAATTTCTGGAGGAATAAATCAATATTTTTCTATCAGTTGAATATCAAAATTAGAAATAAAATTATCGAGCATAGAGGAGTCAGGGATAATGTGGACACGGTGAAAATTTCGGAATATGGAAGGTTGAGAATGGGAAATTAAAAAAAAATGTGTTTAGAATCAACGCCATGAAAACTGATTTTTTTATGAAGAGATTTTTGTTTGGGCGAATAACTCTAGATATGTTTTTAACTTGTTAGATTTGTTTTAGGCTTTTTCATTAATATGTTCATGGATAGATTTAAACTCACCTGGAAGATTTTGCGCTCGAACAGGAGCCGCACACCCTAGGCATTTAAGATTTTTCTGATATTTGACTGCCTTTGCAATACAGTATAAGTGAGACACACCTTGACAATTTTCACATCTGTATCCCTAGAATTTGAGCGTAACCACGTAAAAATATGTCTTTCACGAAGATCATTCCCATTTGCTCATAGTTTTCTGTCGTATAACTTTAAAAATTAACAGCAATTCTTACGTGAAATATTGTGTTCCTGCACATGAGGCAAGCGTTAAGACCATCTGCATAAGACTCTCTAAAATACGGCATCAACTCTCCAACACTTCTGACACCCATATAAACGTTGTCACCCTAAAATAATTATACAAAATGTCAGATCACCTCCAGAGGGGAACATTTACTAATCCAAATTTAAAAAAGCCTCTGTTCGGCAAAAAATCACGAGTAATGAAACAATTTAGTAAAATTTCGTTTAAGGGTGATTGCTTCCACGAAAATAGTTTCAATAGCATAAAAATAAAAATAAAACCTGAACTACCTGTTGATGCACCCACATCTGATCGATCATCATCGTAAGAGTAGATTCAGCTTCAGTCGCTGAAAGTTGCCCAGTCATCTGTGATCTTACATTGATGCAGGTTATAGTGGAGATGTATCCCTCCTCGGAATTAATAATCTCACTGAAAACCTTCCTAACGTACTCAAGCTGCACACGAGTGAACCGTCCCGGATAATTCATTACTTTATCCATGACATTAGCCGTGAATATCCAGTATTTCATTCCGCTGAGCTCGCAATTTGCAGATTTGATAACGAAGTTGTATGGTGCAATTTTTTCATTGATCATTTGAATCTGTCCTTCTACAATATTATCTCCTGGAAACAATAGAAAATTCAATAAAAAACGGTGAAATTAAAGATAATTTTTAATTCGGATTATATATTTGTCATTTAATAATGACAGGTGTAAAGTAGTTTTTCATGAGACCAGAGTATCTGTGCCTAGATTATTTTGGTAATCATCCAAAGGAAGAAAAATCATATACATTTTCTCTTATCAGAACAATTCACAGGAGCAACGGTAATCGCCTGATATTATTCCTCAAATTTGGTCAACGGAATGACTGAAGAAATATTCCTATTGATAATTCTATCAATTTTGGAGCGATTCTATGAAAATTTCGCCTAGAAAAATATTTATAATGTATAAAAATATATATAAATATATATATATATATAAATATGAAAATTTATTTTTTTTTAAAATTTTTATTAAAATTTTTTTTTTTTTCCGTTTTTATATTCTATTTTTTCATATTTTTTCCTACTTAATTTTTCCACGAGGAAAGATGAGAATAAAATGGAAGTTATAACATTGAACCAAAGAAATTCTATAGTAACAAGCTATATAGGATAACCAACTTCCATCAACGTTTTCTATTCAGTATTTTCTACTGAACTTTTCCATAGAATCAATCAAAATCGAGGAAAAAGTCTGATCGAACTAACACAGAATTTTCTTGGGATTTAAGTTGTTTTCCACTGGAATATCGTTCAAAGTAAATGGCAGCAATTTACCAAAGATAAAAACTATTTCTCGAGCAACATCCTCCTGACTCATGACTCCTTTTGTCATCAAGACTTGCAAAAAACTCTGCGTATCGATGTCTAACATGATAGCCCTTAGAAATGTTTGAACACAATATTGAAAATTCCAAATCGTTCGAACAATTGGGACAACTGACAAGAGAGAAACTCGACGATGCCGCTCAAAACCGTTGCTATTTCTTTTGTTTACAAGTGAAATAGAGGAGAGGTGGTAGTGGAGTTTTTTTTCTTCGATAGAGATTGGAAAGTGCTGCTACAGCTTTGTATTTTTCTCGTTAAATCTGAAAAATCATCAGTCTTCACCAAAATGGCGTCGAAGAATCAGCGATGGCTAGTTGATTCCGGTATTCTACGTAAAAAAAATGTGGAGGAGGAGCCCCAGGAGCTTCTAGTCTTCGGATACAGCTGCAAATTATTTCGAGACGATGAGAAGGCGAAAATGATTGATCAGGGGAAGCATTTGATACCGTGGATGGGCGATAACACGTTGAAGATAGACAGGTCCGTTTTCCTAACCTAAAAATCGTCAAAATCAAATAAGAAATTAAAATCATATACACAATTTAATTGAAAGAAAAAAATGTAGGATAAAATAATACTTACTTTATTCTCTTTAAAAATCCAAACAAAAAGCGGTACGTCCCTTAGAACGCAGACGTTATCAGCAGAGAAGGACACGAAGAAGAAGAGAGAAGTGATAAAGAGACTGTTTCACCATTTATCCAAAACCAATGAGGAAAATAAACAGAAAAAAAAAAGAAATTGAAAGTTAAAAGATTAAATGAGATATACATTCAATTGTTATTGTTACTGGCCATTGTGGAGACTGTTTAAGGTTTCCCTGCAGGTGTTTGTCATCGGCACCATCATGTTGAAGGGTGCTAATGCTATTTTATGTACGTGGGTGTCTGCAATTTACCTCAGAGGGAAAAACAACTGGGCAACTGGGAGAAAGGTGAGACACAGCGCACAGAGACCAAAAATGGGAGAAAATTAAATGGGATTTATAGAGTTCATTTTATTGACTCGGATGATTTTTCATGGGGTATGTATTTAGAGGCGTTTTGGAGACGGTGAGGCTATGGACACTTTGACAAATTCGGTAATTCAAGGAGATGAGGTGAAAACGAATTTCAAAAATTTTTTCCCGATATCTAAGGAATAATATTATCTCAAATACGCAAGGCATATTTTTTAAACTGACGACAATAATTTTCTTTAATTTTAAAAAGCCTTTCATAAATTCAAATTTATTCTTAAATCTGTCTCGAGAGAACAATAGAAATTCTCTTTGATGTCTACATTTGATAATACCATTGTAGTGCAATTTTTTACGTTGCGTAAATAGCGATTTGTTCAAAGCCTACCGTAATGATCAATAAACCACAAAAATTTTCTATTAACCCTTTTTTTACATGTACGCAGAGCACACGGAGTATTTAACCAGCTTATTTTCAATTTCAGGTGGCGGAGGGAGAATAATTTGAGCAGTTATGCGATAAATTGTTTTTGCCATTATTAAGGCTCTAATCTTGCTATTTGTGTCTTTAGATACGATGGACGTGGGGCACTGGGGGACCTGAGGGTGCACGAGCCGCCGTCTGGTGGTTTTGATCAGAGGACAGTACTTACTGAGGATGAACTCAAGGTTGAACAACTGTGTGATGAAGAACGTTATCGATCGTTATACAACAATGATGCTGAGGAGTCCATGTATCACGGTGAGAAACATCAGCATTTATATCTCCTCCCAATTTTTTTCCCGATAACTAACGTTACATTAAAAAAACATTAATTTTTAACCGGAACTTGTCGGGATTGATTCTGTATCGGAATCTGGTTGCATTAAATTAATTTATCCCTTCAAGACATTAAATTGGTAATTCTTTATGCTTGAGTTTTCATATGTAATGTAATTATATTTATATGATTATTATAATTCATATGAATTCCTAAAAGATAATATAATGATGTTCTAAAATCGATAAAAATAATAATTATTTATTGATCCATTTTCATTTTGTCTCATTATTAGAGGAAGAAATGAAAAGATTACATCAAGCACTCGGTAGTGAACACACTTATGGCCAAGTTGCTTACAATTACGATGATCAAGATAGTCAAACAGCGATTGGTGAAGATTCTCAGAGTCCAAAACCATCAGACGGTTCCCAGGAGGACGATCAGGCATTCGTATTGCCCCCAGAACTTGAGGTTCCAGAGGGTACAGTTTTGGTAATTATTCACAAATATTCATTATTAATCGTTTCTTTTTATTTTGCTTCATATCGATCTGTAATGTATTGATAGCTATTGAATTATTACTAAATTTTTATAATTTTTTACAGCCAGAAACTCAGAAGCTTGATGCAATCATCACAAAGACTGCGTTATTCATTAGTCGTCAAGGAAGTCAAATGGAAATCCTTATTAAAGCCAAACAAGCAAATAATCCACAGTTTTCGTTTCTCTCCATCGATGGGCCTCTTCATCCTTATTACAAAATAGTTTTAGAAGCTATAAAATCAGGGAAATTCAATCCAGAAAAACCTCTGGATAAAGAGGAATCAAGTAAATTTTTTGATTTAGTAAAGTTTTCAATATTTTTAATATTAAAATTCGTTGTTACTGACGCGTCATATCTTTCTTTGACTTCCTTCCAGCTTCTGAAGCCTCAGACGATGACGAAGAAGGTTATCTTCACCCAAGTCTTGCATCGTCTCTCTCTAAAGTTGAAGCGGTAGGTCCTAAAAACCATGAGTTACAAATCATTCGTTATTGTACCTAAATGATAAAGATGATTTTTTAAAACGAGTAATGCCCGATGAGTCTCAGTTTGCCGCGGGGTAAGTGCGGAACTGTAAACTCTACAGGCATTCTAATGTCTCATGAATTCATCAAAGGCTTTCACGAAAAATAAATTGTAATTGGAGTATAATTCAACCGGCAAAAAAATAAAATTAGAAATGAGGTACAACAAAGGAGGAAATGTATCTCATTTAATTAAATATCCAATTCTTTCAATAACGAATAACCTCACATGGACAGATGAAAAAAATGTTATGTCCGAAATAAATAAATAATTATTCAATATTGATAAATGCCTTTGATTCGTGAGTTTAGTATAGTCATTCGTAGGGTTAAATAAACTCTCATCGCTAATTTATTTCTGATATTATTTCTGTTTCCAGGGCTGGTTCTGGTATGCAATTGGATCCGCCGATTCGACACTTTGTTAATTAAAAGAAAAAAATATAGAAAAAAGTCAAAAAGCTACAATGAGCGCGATAAGACCAGTCTCTCAATATTTGTACAAATTCAAAGTTCATAACTAGGTTTTCAAGAAAACTAAACGAAGCGTGTCAAGTTAGTCATCAGAACATTCACATATCCCTAAAAATTGATAAACTAACTCAATACGAATATCGATTGACAGGTCGATAATAGAGAAGATTCACTAAATTTATCTGTGCTGATTATTGTTCTAAATATGTTCTCTTTAAAATCTTTTTCATAGGCTCCTAGTATACCGAGTATACAGTACAAACCCTCAGCGGACTGTGCGTACTCGATGCTGGTGAATAAAATAACCGGTAAACCACCACCATCGCGGACTCAGCATCCTCCACCCCCACCTGATGTGCCTGTTCAGCAGATGCCACCTCTTGGGTATTATCCACCAATGCCAATGCAGGTATAATCATTATTTATTCCCAACGGAACATTTGTTTTCGTACAATCCAAAGTTTTCATTCTTTCTTGTCCGAATATCTAATTCTGGCCTCAGGAGCTCGAACATATAATTTGTAGATTGATTGAAAATTGAATTGAAAAATGATAAATGAATAAATGACTTTCAGGCGTATGCACCATATCCACTAGCTCCTCAACAATACTCCCACGGTCCTGTGATCTATGGACTGAATGGTCAAGTTCAATCACCACCGCATGTATCAACACCTCCAACTCAGCTCACAGAAAGCCTTCCCACCGCCAAGGATACCCCAGCTCCTTTGGTTCCTTACGGCACAACTCCTCCAAAGCCTCTGAGTCGTCCCTCTTTTATCGTGCCACCTGCTGATATCCAAATAATAATCGACAAGATGGCAAGTTACGTTGCCAAAAATGGCCGAGACTTCGAGGCCATCGTGAAAGCCAAAGGAGATCCTCGATTCAACTTCCTCGAGCTGTCCCACCAGTATCACGGATATTACGCCCACAAATTAACAATTTACGAGGGCGCTATCAATCCGAAAGTTTTAACAGAGGAGGAGCTTCTCCGCAAACAAGAGACTCAGGAAGAGAAGCAGAAAAAACTAGAGGAACTGCAGAAAAAACAACAGAGGATGGAGGAGGTTCAGAAGCGAGTGAAGATGATACAAGCGAAGAAGAAAGGGGACAAGCAAATTACAACAGTTTCATTTTCGATAAAGAAACCGAAGGAGGGAGAGACGATTGTTATCGAGAAGCGCAGTGCTTTACCTATGGAGGAGAGTGATGATGAAGGGGATGATGAGAAGGGAGAGAAAGAGGAAGAGTTGAAATCTGCAACCCCTGAGCCACCGGAGCCACCGAGAATCAGCGAATCTTTACGCAAAAATTCTGAAGAGAAGGAACTCGTTGATTTGACCGATGACATTCTCGAGGATTGTCAGAATCAGATAAGGCTTAGGCAGGCTGAAGATAAAATCAAAGATAAACTAGCAGCTGCAGCTAGAGATAAACTTGCTGCTACTTCTAGGGAACGATTGTTACAGATTGAGAGAAGGAAAAAGGCTGCCATGTTTCTCAGTACAATTCAAGCTTCTAGTGTTCCTAAACCAGTTGTTGAGAAAATTGATGATGATTCAGATGAGGTTCACTCCATTCCATCGCCCACTCTTGAAGATTCAACGAGTAAGAAAGGAAATTCACTGATGAGCAGACTAAAGAGTGCTGATCTTGGAATTAATTCCACTAAGGTCAGGTCTAAATCGCGGAGTAAGAGTAGGAGCAGGAGTAGAAGTCAGAGCAGGAGTAGAAGCAGCAGACATCGATATCATAGAAAACATAAAAAGAAGAAGAGTTCGCATAAGAGGTAAGAAAAATCCATATACAGAAATTCTTTATAGAATTTTATTATTTCAAGGGTCAGTTACATTATCTTTCCAAAGCAAATCTAGATCGTTTTTTTCTTTTTTTTTTATTTAAGACAAGCATGTACTATCGAACATCCTTCAGATATTATAAAAATTGTTTATTCTTATTTCTCAGTTATGACAGTCCAAGTTCATCAAGGTCCCAGCACTCAAAGCGTTCGAAAAAATCATCGACTCGTCACAGAACTCGTTCTAGATCGCCCTCAAGACGCTATCAGGGACATCGAACTCGCAGTGATTCGAGTGCCTCATCCTCCCTCTCTTCTTGAGCTGCAAATCCCCTAATACCTCAAAAAATTGTGTAAAAGTGTAAATAATCACTAATTCTTTAAATTAAGACAATTTACTACGATGGATTCTCAGCAAATAAACGAAATGAAGAATTAACTGCAACACGCTAAAATAAACAAAATACTGTTTTCCTAAAAATCCAATGATGACATTAATTGAGATAACTGCATGACGATCGAATAAAACGTGATCCCCTGTTGTGTACATCATGTGTTTGTAACCACTAAACACGTGGTGCAACCTTGAAGTTTCTAATGTGCGTTTCAACGAGATAAAACCAAGGAATAGAAAAATTCAAGATCGGAGATCTGGCTATTTGACGTTAATTATCGCCGTCGCTACCTACAACAAAAATCAAAATTGTGCCAATACGGGAAATAAAAGAGAATGACATTTTCTTCGGCAGGGATAAAATGAAAATATCAAATGTACATTGAGAGAAGAATTTGGTACAATGTAGTAAACCTATTTGTTTGCGACGAAAAATAACTGATTTATTATTCGATTTAAAACAATCAAAAATATTTTTGAAGTAAACCATTATTGGATTAATTTCATCTTTAAATGAATTGATTTTCGCCAATTTACTGTTTCTGTTGAAACTGTTTGAAAAATATTTTTCTAATCTTAATACACAATAAAATAATAATTGATTGAGATTATCAAATATGATTTTAAAATTAAATTCATCATCAGGCACATTTAAACGAATACTAATTTAAAATTTGAATTCCTGAAATCAAGTAAATTTACAATTGAACTTCAAAATTTCAATCAGTTGTTTTAAACAAATTTATTTAATTCAGTATTTAACTATTCATTTATTTTATTCATTAGTTTGGACACATTTTCTTTCTAATTTACCAACTTTTTATCTCAGTGCATGAAGAATGAAAATCGTAAGAAAAAAACCAATAAATAATCTATTTTTTCTATATTGCTGTAATTATCATGATCTTGTTTTTCACTTAAGCCGATAAAATTTTTATGCGAGCTGTTATCAACCGATCTGTCAGACCTCTTATCAATCAGCGTTGTTAGCCAGGACAGATTCTTCTGCGATAAAGCGGTAAATTGTTTACATCCTAATAATCACACTAGGACCGGGATGATGATTTCCCTCTTAAATTTGTTACTACAGGAGATCATGCGGTGAACACGAGGATAATAGCATGTGAAAAGCAACATTAAAATGAATGACGCACATTCTGTTTTCATTCTCTTGTCATTTATGCATCCGTTCAACTGTACACAAGCCACAATTATGAATGTGCGACAACCGAGAACTCGCTAAATTTACTAGATCCTACGCAATTTGAAATCCACACTTACCATCATCATCAGGTATCATAAATCAATAATAACTAGTTCTTCCATAAATCCGCGTAAACTAGTTGTTATCCATCTAAATTGAAAATAAGTAGCAAAACGGTAAAACGCTCCAAGTCATCAAATGTCAGTTTATCGGAGAGACGAAAGTAACTGATCGTGGCTCATCTGTTAATTAATGATTAATAATAAACAATTCCACCATCATTCACCATCATTCATTAATGATTAATAATAAATAATTTCACCTGCTGCAGCCACTTATTGCTTTAAATTTGGCCCATTAGCTCGTATTCTCTTTTACATTCGAGAGTGATAAAGATAAGAATATAAAGATATCTTCTCATTTTTCATGTGCTTTGCAGATGTGTTGGAAACTTGATGAAAAAATCAAGGAATCATTCTCAGCGAAAACTTATCATAAAAGAAACTTTGTGATTACCATCCAAATACCCATTTTGAAAAATTCGAGGCATTCGTGATAGCCAGAAGATGCGTGGAATAATAAAATACAATAAAATGAAATTCGTACCAGTCGAACTCATTTAATCATATCGAAAAAACCCAGAGTTGTCAAAGGAACATAATCTGCTATCAGGCCTGCATAGCACATGGATCAAAAAGTGAGGAGATAATGTAGGAGACGGCTGTAAAAATGATGAATGAGAATTATCATTCAAAGGCGGAGGCTTTGTCCGTATTCAATGAAGAAATTTTGATTAATTGTAATATGATAGTCTCTCCTAGATAGCACATGAATTATCAGGAAACGCATTGAAAAGATCCATATGTAGAAAATGTAGGAATAAAAATTAGTTTGTATATATTTTTTATCAATTGTGCTACAACAAATCCGTAGCGAAGTGGTGAACTCGTGTAAGTGCATTTTTTCGAGGTCAGTTTTTAGCCAATATCTCAAAAATGAAGGAAGATATGGATTTTTTCATGGATACCTTTTTCGTAGCTCTCATCTTTTTACATAAAAAATGTTTATATCAAAAATCCTCTGTTGATGAAAATTCCTCGATTGCATTGCAACATGCATGAGAAATACTTGTTGCATTTTTCCCTAGAATTATGAAATATATTTTAATACTGATATTTAAAGAGATCGTGTGAGAAAAAATCGGTTCATCGCGGTCTGATTGTAAATGTTGGTCTATCAATTCTTAATGACTTCTGTATCAACGAGAAAAGAGTAAAAACGTCAGTAGGATTGGAAAAATAGAATGACGATAGGGTAATGGGAATGGAAAGTATCGTCATACGTTTGAAAAATTATTGATCTAATTTTCCATATTGGACACTAATATTTGTACTATCACCGTATGTGATAATGTGGGGTCATTGAGGTGACCTGTGAATTTATAAATCGAAGAGACATCATGAATATTATCTCAGTCTCTGTAACAGTGATCCTCGTGAATGTATCAAGTATCTTCAGTGATGTCTACTAAAGTCGCAGTAAGTCACATTCCCTGAAGATTTCATTATCACTAACAAGTTCAATCTCAACAGAACGAGTCTAGACTCGGAATTCAACTTGTTTTGCACATTCTGGATAAATCCCATTCAGACAATAACGGGGCGATAAGTTTTACTATGCCACAACCATTTGTAAAAATACACTCAGAATTTTTCGCGAAATTTCAGTTGCAATGTTCTCTGAATTTTCAATATTAAAAGTTTTGTAGTTAATTCAATGTGCATTTTCATTAAAATTATGTAAACTAAAATATTTAAAGAGATTGGATTTTTATTATAACAATTGATATTAATCACTTTTTTCGTTTCTGTTCCTAAAATTCCGATTGTTATTTTTTTGGAAATTCATACATAAAAAATAACACGATTATAGAAGTTCGTGAATTATTTATTCTAATAAAAAAAGGATAAGAAGCTAAAGCTGTTTTTCCGCGTCAATCTAATCAATAAAAATTGAAAGAGTTGAGATAATTCTAGGGGAGAGGAATGTTCCTAGAAAGAAACGTCAGGAAAATTTTTAATTATTCTTAGATCATTCTAATTTATTGTGAAATCATTCAACCGAGAATGACATGGGAGAACATATAAAATGAACTTAATGATAATTAAAAAAATTATGAAGTCGTACTTTTGATTGAATTTGAACATGGACATCTGAAGATTCCTCGAATAATTTCAATCCATTCAAGAACATATTTTTAATTTATTAGCAAGGAACCACTACTATAGAAAAATGAAGACAATGTTGTTTGAATACTTGCTTTCGCATTTTTGGGAATATTTAATTGGTGAGTTGAAAATAGAAAAGATTTTGCGTATAATCTAATATAAATTAACAAAATGATCGATGCGATCTTTTCGCACAAATTTATATTGAACCGGCAAAGAGTGTGTTTTTGCAAAAGCCACGTGATATATTGAAATTTCTTGAGAAAAAAAATGTCTTTTGCCAAATATATTTACCTCTCATCAGTACATCTTGTATAATAGAATGAATTCTCCCAGAAGACATACTAATGCCAAATCTCTTTTTTGCGAAGTGATAAACTGGGATAAGTGATTGTTTTGGAGGCCAGTTTTTGGGTAATACCTCGGAATTGAAGGAAGCTACCGATATTTTCACAAATAGCATTTTTGTGACTCTTAACTTTTTCTACAAAAAATGTTTATGTCAAGAAATCGCTATGTCCTTTCGATTCCAAGATATTGTCTCCAAACTATAGTCTCGAAAAAAATGCACTTATCGTAGCTTACCACTTGGTTGCTGATATTTTCTTGTGGAGTCTTTGTGTGGTGTTATCTGGTTTGCTCTCAACTTATCACGTATTATAGTTGAGACGATGGAGAATTAGGTGGGGAGTGATGTACAGTATTAAAACCGTGGGATCTCGAAGCGAGAGTTCAGTTTTGCTCAGTTGTCAGTCTCAACTGGATTGCCCCACTCAATCAATTTTATTCCTTCACACAATTTTCCGCAAAGACCCTCGTCTTTGCGTGCCACGGGACATTTTTACACTTTGAAAATTATTTTCAACGGTAGAAAAATCTATTCTCTGGGTGTGGGCGTTCCCTGACACGGTACAGCTCTTACCCCATTGAAACAGATTGATTTTTTATTATTTTTGAATTGGCAATTCAATTTATTATCAAGAATTGAATCATGTTCACCATCATGACGTATCGCGCTGCGCAACAGCCTGGTAAGAAAATTTATGCTTTGGAATTGAGAGTTATTACCGATTTTTTCTCATTTCTGTTGAGGAGTGGTAAACTGGGCAAGAGTGGGGCAGATTGGAATGTCTTTAATTGTTAATAACATCGGATTCGTAGATGGAAATTTAACGATTTCTATTTCATTTTGAAGTTCGGTTTTTGAGCTTTGAAATGAAAAAAAAAATCATTCGATTTTACTCTGCGGTTTATGAGTTATTCATCATTAAAAATAATCTATTTTGACCTCACTCTCTCTCAGAATGAGTGCATTTTCATTGACGTCGGTTTTTAATGAATATCTCCCGACTCAAGGGAGATAGCAAGATTTTTGTTAATGCATTTATGGCAGAGAAACGTGAGTACTACAAAAAAGGTAGTTAGAAAAATGTCAATATTTTGCTTCAATCCCGAGATATTTGGAAAAAACTCGTCTCGAAAAAATGTGCACTTGTTCTAATTTATCACTTGGCCACTGATTCTTCATGTTGATTGTGAATCCCTGGAAAACCCTTGATCGGATTGACGGGAACAAATATACCATTTCTCTGTGTCGATTTCGATGATTCCTTGAAAATATTCATGAGACTATGTAATTGGTAAAGCTGAGTAATGAGTATTTTTGAAATGGAATTTGCAATTTGAAAATGGAATTTTTGATAAATTTTCAGCCCCATGGCCGGACCAATGCAGTCATCATGCTCGACCCATCCGAGAAATTACGACCGGAGGCCGTGTATGCGGCAAAATCGGAGAGTCAGTTCAGAGATTTCTCCGAAGACCCCAGCGACCCAATTAAAGAGAGGGTCAGAAAGACATATCAAAAGATGCACACATACCAGACCGTCGATTTTGTTCGTTGTTAGTTGATTTTTATTATTTACATTCCTCTACCACAGAACATATGACTCATCAAAGCCACAATTTTTAACGCACACATTTTCATCCTTCACGCTCCACTACATCCCGCAAAATTATGTAAATTCCACTCAATGGCTCATGTGACATTTGCATAGACAATCATCAAAATTACACGGAATTCAGTGGTGAGTTCACACAATGATCTTTTTTTTTGCACTTTTTGAAATAAAGTAATGTATCAAATTTTATTAATCTTGTGATTTATCATCGAATTACCATTTCTCGCATTCATCCTATTCCATCGTATTCAATTCGAAGCTTTTGATATTTTTTCACAGGCCATTCTGAAATAAGTCGTCTTTTTCATATATTATATCTCTAAGATTGTTAATTTTTCAAGTCTCCATGTCTGTTAAAACGGCGATCGCGAATATTGTGAAACAGAATTATAAAAGATGAATTCTCCGAAAGAGAAATCCTCTTTCGTTTCTCGCGGCAAATTTCTTTTAATAATATAGCCGATGTAATTGGCATATTTATTTATTTATATTTCTTTTATGGGTATCCTCAATTTCTCTAGGACCAAATTTTTCAAATTTCATGATCGAATTGTAGAATTGAATTGAAAAAACAAATGCATTCTGCAATATTCATTCGTGAGAAATCATTATACCCATTTACAATAGTATTTCCTCGAAAATTTCGGGGCTTACCCGCGTTTTATCGCAATTATAAATCGATTAAGACGAATCTATTGATCACCGAATTGTTCTGGGATCGTTTGATTTAGATAGACAATTTTATAATCGGTAGTCACTACAATCATTCCATAACGAACAAAAAGAGCGATCTGAGAAAAATATAAGACCTCCATTAATTGATTAATTGCGAATGGAGTGGGTAATTGAGGTGAATTTTCAAAAGACTCCGTACTCCGGTGAATATGAATTAAAATGTCTGCTTCCCTGAAAAACGATTAAGTTTTCACAGTAAAAAATGTTCCTCAAAGTGTCACAATATTTTCTCCTCGCGGATTCTAAACAGATCTATTTGAGAGTGAAACGAGGATCAAAAAATGAGAAAATCAGGGATTATGTGCTTTTGATACCAACAAATAGATAAGGAAATGGTAAAATGGTGTTTGTAGCTCGGATGGATTACTGGCTGAAGTTTGATAAATTCAGGATGACTATTAAAGAGGCACTGAATAAGTTGAACGATCTTGTTGACGAGAGTGATCCTGATACATCGATGCCAAATATTTATCACGCATTCCAGACTGCTGAATCAATTCGAAAGGCTCATCCAGATTTGGATTGGTTCCATCTCACCGGTCTTATTCATGACCTTGGAAAGGTGATGAACTCCTATTCAACACCAATACTTTTAATTAGATTGCATGAATATGTGTTGTACTTATCTAAATCCAAGGAAAGAGCTGAGTTTTGTCTTTTTGTTTGCCAGGTGATGGCCTTTTATGGAGAACCTCAGTGGGCAGTAGTTGGAGATACTTTTCCGGTTGGTTGTGCCTGGGCAGACTCCATTGTTTATCGTGATACCAGCTTTGATGATAATGTCGATGGCCAAGATAAACGATACAAGTTTGTAAACATGAGTAATTATATCTTCCTTCGCTTTAATTAGAAATTGTTTTTCCATTCTCTAGATACTTCTGCTGAAGTGCTTTGAAGTAATCGATTTTTTTTCATTTGAAGAGGAATTATATTGAATAGTCGTTAAGAAGAATAGAGTTGAAAAAAATAATTATTTTTTTCATTTCTGTAGGATTACATCAGATGATATTCAATTTGTCATTTTTAGATACGGTATTGAAATTTTAATCGGCTTTTAGAATTTTTTCGTAGGGTGACTCTAATTACGAAACATTCCCATCGTCCGTTTTAATTTTGTCGATGGTCAAATGAGTTAGTATGAGAATTTTCGTCTGTTTTTATTTTCAATTTTGAAATATGTTCATTTTGCCTGGTGTGTTCGTTCTACCGTATCCATTTTTCCTTATTGTTAGTTATCACAAGTCTGACGATAAATCCTGGAATTTCCGGAAACGAATATTTATAATTTCCTTTCATTCTTAGAGTCCTCTCCGTGGGTTTTTCTGTGGAAAAATGACAAACTATATTCTTAGAATTTTGTAAATACCCGAATGAGAAGTACTTCGGGCTGTATTATAGATATGAAGACGAAATTCTATTAAGATTGATAGACCGATCGATCTAGTCTAGATTGAAAAAAAAATAATCGAAAACGAATAGTCTAGAATCAGATCGGAAAATCTGTTCAAATTAAATCTGGCAGAATTATGCGAGGAATCAATCCCCAAAATCAGTCTCGACTGATTTTTTTTTTCAATCTGAATCCATTAAAAAATTCAAAAATGAAAACTGATCTTCTTTATTTTTCTTCAGCACTAAATATGGCATTTACAAACCCAAGTGTGGAATGAACAATTTGATAATGTCATGGGGTCACGACGAGTACCTCTACCAAGTACTCATCCACAACAAAACAACTCTTCCCAAGGAAAGTCTGGCAATGATTCGTTTTCATTCGTTCTACCCCTGGCACGCAGGTGGAGATTACTCTTATTTCTGCACAGATGAAGACAAAAATAATTTAAAATGGATTAGAGAAATGAAGTAAGTCATCAGAATATAATTACATCATTGCATATTGATCAATAACAATGAAGAATTTATACCTACATACATTATTTTTCAACTTCTGCCATTTGAGGACATTTTAGTACCGAGTACGAAGAATCTGATTAAAGGATTAAATTTTCGATTTGTTTCAGTGTACATGATCTTTACACCAAAAGCGAGAACCTTCCAAATATTGAGGAGCTATGGCCTTACTACGAACAACTTATCGCCAAATATATCCCAGGAAATCTCGAATGGTAAAGATCGAGATCCTCCATTCGAAGATTTGGCTCTCCATCTGCGAATACTCAGGAAATCTCAAGACTTTAGTTTTTGTAAAATTAGATCAACATCTGAAATTAAAAATTAAAAAAAAAATCTCTTACGCCTAACTCGATATTAATGACTGTATGATTACACGTAATAATTTTCTTGTCTTGCTTTTAAGTAGAAAATTTGTATTCGTTCGATTTTTATTTTTACTCATCAATCAAAGGAGTGAGCGGCTAAGATATTTTGAAAAAAATTGAAATTATTAATATTTGTGATATTGTGATGATTTGCTATTCGGGATAGGCTTATTATCCAATGTCTCACAAAGTTTCATCACCGTCGAGAAATTTTCTTGCGTTCTCAGCGAAATTTCATGACAATTCTGTAGCGAAGTGTTAAGCTAGGACAAGTGCATTTTTTTATAGCCCAGTTTTTTGCCAATATCTCGGAATCGAAGGAAGGCAGCGATTTTTCCATAGATACCTTTTCCGTAGCCCTCATGATTTTCTATGAAAAATGTTTCTATAAAAAATTCGTTATGTCCCTTCAATTCCGAGATATTTCTTATCCTAGCTTATCAGTTCGTTACAGAATTGACAAAATTTTATCAAAAATTTACAGAAATAGACACACGAGTAGATAAATTAGTGAATTGTTGAATACTGATAAAACCTAAAAAAGCGGTATTTCTTCACGTCAATCTGACGCAGAGCTACCCAACAATTCACAGGAGAAATGAAAAATGAAAAGATATCGAGAATAACTCCCGAATCTAAACTTTAGATTCTAAAGGACAACAAACCAAAATTCAAAACGTTGGACGATTCCCGCGAAATAATTCGGCAATATCCGTCGGCTTCCGGCTCGACTTGGTGAAGCTCCAGGTGTCGCTGTTAGTCGTGAGAAGCGCGACTGTAGCACTTTGACATGACGAAAAACGGCCAATGTCGTAAGTGTGTGCTCTATGAAATTGTAGGAAAGCTGTCTCTCGCCAGAAGCTACCCAAAGGAACAAGCGTCAAAAGTAGGGGTAAATTGTGCGCCATTTTCTATTTTTGCGTAGCAGTAACCCTAGGTGTTGTGTGTGTACAATTCAATGTGATAAAGAATTTCAAACAAAAAATAAAGGGACGATAAAAAGGGAGCGTGAATCAATTACTAGTTAACAAATAATTAATTTTTTTGTGAGCAATAGAAAACGAAGAAGAGGAATAGAAAAATCAAGGTGGTGTTTAATATTCAAAGAAGATATAAATCGAAAGAGAAATCATATTAAAAATGATAATGGACAACGCGTGCAACGAAATGATCGACGTAGCTCACGGACCCGTCTACAGTCCGCGTTGCCGCGCGTGAATAAAACCGAGTTTTCATTTTTTTTTTCTCCGCCCTCTCCTCTCTCTCTCATCATTATTTATCCTAACCACATAAACACCAACACTTGTATGTAAAATTTAGCTATTTCAATCATTAAACCTTTCGGACATCTCGTCTTCATCGTTAATTAATCAACGAGTGGTGTGTGAGCTCCAGTGTGATCAGTGCTCTTGTGGACATAAAAAGAAATCCCCAACAGAAAGATATATCGCCTTTTTGTTGCACATTGGGGTGTGATTTCCACCGTTTTATCAACTAACCAATAAGAGAAAAATACTGGAATAGAGAGACCGGAAAGTGCCAAAGAAGTGGATTTAAATAATTCGGATAAAAAAGATATTTGGAAAAGTGTTTAAGGTGGACAGTGCACAGGCAGCTGAAGAGCCAAAAAGAAAAGTTTGTGATTTTTATCTTCAGCTTCGTGTTCCACGAAAGAACCGAACATTCGACGTTTATATTTCTGATTTTTTTCCATTTCCTTTTTCGTTCTGTAGGTTTTTTTTTTCCTTTCCGTTTTTCCCTGGTATCGCGTCCGACATTTATAGTGAAAAACTGAAATTACGTGAAAATTCTTCAATCTGTGATATTAAATGGTAACAAAATGTATAGGTAGATTTTAGAAGAAAAAAAAAAAAGAAGTCGACAAAACATTATATTACGTGTGCACGGTTGTGGCCTACAAGAGGGCACCAGAGGGGACATTTTGGCAAACAATTTTACGATATTTTTCATCAGTTGTAACGGATTATTTCGTGTTGAGAGCTTTCTTTGTTGGAGTAAATTGGAGGTTTGTTTGATGGGAATAGTGAATCGGGGGTGAGAGAGAGTGTGAGGAAAGAGGATTTTCAAAGTAATTACGAGAGTGAGAGAGAGGGAAAGTACGAGAGTGCGCGTAAATTATCCTGAGGAAGTGAACGGGATAAGAGGATGTCTCTGGAATCTGTGTCGAGTGACAGACCTGAGGAGCCCGATCCAAAACCCGAGGGTAAGGATTATCTTTGTTTTTACTTTTTCTCCATTTCTCATGATTTTTCACCCTATCTTCAGACTCTATCCTCTCTCCTGCCTATCAGGACTCAATTTCACTCTGAAGCTAATCAATTCTTCAATTATCACTTCTAAGACTGATGGATTCAATGAGGAAAGTTTAACCTCTTCTGTGTTGAAAAAACAACAACAATTGCAGTTGGTTTTTTCTTTAATTTTAGTATGATGGACATAAATTGAAATTGAAGATCGTTCTTGGATATGTTAGACAACGAATTTAAGGACTTATTGTCCGAATCTTTTCATTTCTCAAGGTTTTTTACGAATTCTTGAGAAACGGTTGATAAAATTGATGCGATTGCGAAAAATCTTTAAAATATTTTTACGTTTTGTCATTATTCAATGTCTCATGACGTTTCAGCACTGGAAGAACTTTCCTAAATTCTCAGTACATTTTAGCAAAAATTTTCAAAACTGTGCCAACAATTTGGATAAATAGACATGACTATGAAAATTTGTAAGTCATTGAATAATGGTGAAAACTAAAAACGGTATTTTTATTCTCGTCAATTTTATTCATAGTCTCCTTGAAATTTAGAAAAAAACATAAAAAATGAGAAGATATCGGTAATAAAATCCTTAAAGATTGCACTTTTCTCCTCTACATAACCATTAATAACTGAGAAGATGCTATTATGAGAAATACTGTCATGACAATCTGCTTATCTCAATAATAAATTTATCAACAACTTTCATTCAAAAGTTAACTTGCAGTATCGATCCACTGGTGTCCTCCTTACACAGTGTGATATTGTATAATTATTAATAACAGTTTAAATCTTCAAAGAATTTATCCCCAGAATATTCGACACGAAAGGCATTCTCACAAATTTCAGAGACTTTAGAGACAAAAACTGCCCCACTGTCAAGATATTCATAATAGTTATATAGTTAATAGTTATTCCGAACAGCTAGAATATAACGGCTTTACCATAATTTAAAAAATCCTCCTTCATTATTCCATAAACGCCATCGAGTGATTATCGACAATTTGTTGTAGTAAAATTTCAGATAAAAAAATGTTCACACCTTCACCCTTCTCCGCCCTTCTAATACTTATGATCTACGAGAAACACGATCCTCTCTTTCTCCTTCATTTCCACCTTAATCACCAACCGAAAATCAAAACAAACGACAGCAATAGGTCAACACCAGTCACGTGCTCGTTAAATTTCTCGCTATAGGCTGATTCCCTTTGAAAAAGGAAAACGTACGATGAAATCCCCGAAAACTCATCCAGGGAATTGTCAAGACGCCCTTTAGTCGGCAGTTGGTCTGTTGAACGAATCAGTCGTGAATTCGTCAGCTAATCCTTTGATAGTTCCCCAAATCTTCACCTACCCAAGCTCTTGAATGAGTTATTAATATTATTTATCGAAACATTCAATATTCACATCGTGACTTGACGCAACGATTCTAATAAATTTAATAATTTTATTGAGTATTTATTTTACTTGGAAAATTTGTGATCAGTGGGTCGACACTTTGGCGTCAATTATCGTCCTTGTCCTTCTCAAGTAAACAAGTGACAAAGGAGATTAAAGTAGCGTCTGTTTAGCATTCCAAATATCACATCGTACGCCATTTTCGTGGTACTTTTTTAATTATAATCCGTTGGATAATTTAAATCCCCCGGTTTGCATTAACTCATTTCTTGGACTCACTGAAAAATCATGAAACTTGAGACAACTCAGAGTTCAACGGCTCCTCATCGTTATCGGCGTCGAAGACGACCTCTTGTTGGACCTACGGGTTCGCCATTTCTCGATTCAACTCTTTTATTGCAAACTAAATCGTGCAAATGGTTCAGAACAAAAAAAACTGTAAATCCCACTAAAAAAGTCACATTCAGTAAGTAGAGGCTTTCAGGAGATAATCGTTCTTTGAATTTTTTACGCATATATTTCAATGGCTTGCAAATGATTGTTAGTCATTCACTGCTGAAACTTGAATACTTTGTTGTGATTTGTATTGATCTTATTCTTATGTTTGCAGGGGATGAAGCTATTATATCGATGTCGGTCGCCGGAGAGGTGACCGATAGTTCTATCATGGAAATAGGGAGATCCAGGCCTCAGTTTCAATACACTCGGGTAAATATCCTCGAAATAATAACAAAGACTAATGGAACTCTTCCTGAGATTCGATGAATAACAGTGCTGATGTGGTAGAGGATAGAGGATCAATATAATAATTTTGTACAGTTTGTTCTACGAATACCTCAATGAGCATATGCTGATAAAATCTTCGGATAATAATTTACAAGGCATTTAAAAATATTCGTAACATGACTACAAAATTTATCTACTTGTTTTTCGTCTTAAGGAATGCCTCTGAAAGGAAAATCATTAATTCTCACGGAAGAGCAAAACTTTGCATTTATAATACTGATTTTTTTTTCTCTGGTTCATTTGTAGGAGGAACTAATGGAGATTAAACTACTTCCACTCGCCAAACGTCGTCCTGAGTGCTTGGACATGGTCTACAACAAGTAAGTTACTCCTCTCTTATAATTTCATGTTCTTTAAAAATATTTCTGCAGAGAAGAGGTGGATTGTCGGGTATAATTAATATGTCATAAAAAATAAAAAACGATAATAGCGGAGTGAATACGGAAAAAAAAACAGAATTCATTCGGAAGCAAATTGTCAGTCTGATTACGAGTTATTTGGCGCCGAAAGGTGAAACTTCCTTCCTGAAGTATTGTGTCGCAGGAATTCGGAGAAAATAATAATAAAAATTCCACCTCATTGATTTATTAAATATTATTATTCAATATTGCAGTTATATTTTTCCATTGCAGTTTATGTATCCATTTTTTATCAAAACTTTTATCATTTATTTATGGAGGTGAGAATTCTTGTGCAGCAAAATTAAACAGCCAATGAGACGTAGTTCAACCAATAGTTCGTTATGGCTTAAATTAATAAAAATAATATGATAAGTAGTTGGATATCTCTTTTAAATAGGCATTGCTCCTTGAATGAAACTTGGGAAATTGTTTCCATCAAAACAGCATGAAAATTTCTGATGAAGAGGAAAACATTTTATGATGTGTCGAAAACTGTTTACATTATATTAAATTTACATTTCTGTTGACAAGTGGGGAATTAGGATAAGTGCATTTTTATCAAGGCCAGTTTTTGGCCCAATATCTCGCAATTAGAGGGAGATATCAATATCTTTGGTGATACATTTTCTGTAGAGAAAGATAAGCACTGCAAAAAAGGTAATCGCAATAATATCAATATTTTTCTTTAATCCCCAGATATTTGGGAAAAACTCGTTTCAAATAAATGTGTACTTATCCTATTTCACCAATTATGCAATAATTTCTTAAATCTGAATTGAAGCTAGTAGAAAACAGGTGTAATAAATTACGAAGAGCTTTTGCAAGAAGTTGAGAGAGGTTTTTTTAGATGCGCATCCACATGCACACGTGGAATGAGAATATAGGGGAATTCGTTTGATAAGGCGTGAATAAAAGTTTACGTAACCCTTTAATCGCCAACTCGCCATTTATTAGGCCGACTACAAACGAGGTGAAACTTATTCACCATTCATATGAAAACTCCAGTGTAGATTTCAGTGAGAAATCTAAATTATAACTCCGACCATAAATTATTGGACTCTATTCGAGTATATTCAACACAGATGATTCTAGAGAATTCTAAAGTTCCTGTAGAATTGAAAAGTTATTGCCGATATCTTCTCATTTTTCAAGTTTTGTGCAAATTTCTGGGAGTCGTTTTATAAAATCGACGTGAAAAAATACTCCGTCCTTGAGTTTTATCATTATTCACTGTTACAGAAAGTCTCATCTTGCCACAATTTTTCTACGCTTTGTTTAAATCTGTCAGGAAATTCATAAAGGTTTAGAAAAAAATATAGAAAAATAGTTACATCACTGTGAGAGTTGTTGGGTTATTAAATAAAGATAAAACTGAAGAACTAGATATTTTTTCGCGTCTATTTGGTTAGAATTCCCGCAAAAATCTGCTAGAAACATGGAAGATGAAAGAAATTTTTAGGATTTTGGAAAACATTCTAACACGTATATTCTCTGAAAATGGTTTGCTTTTCCTTTCGAAAATCCAAACAAATTGTGCAGCTGTCGAAGAAAATGCGAGACATAAAGTGTCTCCTTTTTATCCTCCCTCATCCCTTAATATTTCTACCATTAAAATTCTGTATTTATGATAATTTGCACCATGATTTACCTGATTGTCATTATTTCGTGTAATTCGTCTCGATTTACAACGACCTGAAGTATAATTTTTGCTTCTCGCAAAAAATATTCCATTTCGTAATTTGCACATTGAGAAAAAACGTCTTTCAAAGAGTGAGTCTTTATTTATGTTAACACGTGCTCAAAAATTTCTTACAAGACGCTATCTTCTACTAAGAGAACAAAACTTTTGTCAAGGGTTTTAGTACTCGCTTGTAAGATGAGGAGAAGCACGTTTCTACTGGTCTCAAGAAACTCATGATTCGAAAATTTCCGTGAAAATGATATCTACTATTCGAAAGATAATTATAATTCATTTAATAATAAAAATGTGATTCCTGAGACGAAGTCCACGGTATATTTGACTGAATTTACTCACAAATTTTCTTTTCTCAAATCCAAAGAATTTCAATGTAAACACTACTTGACTTATCACAAATCCATTGTTCATTATCTTTCGGAGAAATACAAAATCTCTTGACTACTGTTTTGTCTCTCAGTGTAAGATATCGTTTCCTTGGAAATTTTTGAGCCTGATTGGCTTCGTACAACAAAGGGAGCATTTCAATGCATTAAAGATATCTTAACGTTGGACAATCGATTGGTGCATCACGATTTTCACACAAACTGAAAAATTAAAACTGCATTTTTTAAAGATCCACCTAAAACCGATTAATCGTCGATATATTTACATGCCCAGTCTGTCAATAATGAAACAAAATAATGAGAAAAAAAAACCCACTGGTGTTTGATATCCAGCTCACGTGGTACATGGGACCCAGAGCGCTGGCACATGGATAGAAAAAGGAGTGAGACGCCTCCCGAGGAAGATCAACGACGAAACGAGATACCAGTCGAGCAGAATAAGCGTCGTAGTGGAGATCCACGTGAACGTCTTCGCAAGGAGCAGGATGGTATCGTTCTATCTCCTCAACGACGTTCCTTCAACTCAGGTTGCTTTGTCAACACCACTCAACCACCGCCTCGCCGTCCAGAGAGTCCAATCCACAAACCAGAAGTACCCCACCGTGAACAGGTCCGAAGAATTGGTTCGGGTCGTCTCCTAACTCGTGACATGTGGGACTTTCGCCCTGAGGCTGAGAAACTTGAGCCGGAGAGAACTGACATTGCCTTCAGGATTACTGGAAATGGTTCCCGCGAAGGTACTGGATGGGGTGAATCAATGCGAGATCGCGACAACAGGGACAGAGATATGAGAGATGACAGGAATGATAGGTATGAGCGTAGATCATTTGGTAGAGACTTTGGTGATCGTGATAATCGAGACAGGAATGATCGTCATCCAATGGATCGTGATAAAGACAGGAGGGAGAGAAAGTTTGGGACTGATCGTAGAAGAACGTACTCGAGTGAACCGAGGGAGCTCGAGGAGCCTGAGTGGTTCTCTGGTGGTCCAATCTCTCAGCACGACACTATTGAGCTTCGTGGCTTCGATGATATCCCAGAGGAGAAGATTACGAAAAACAAAAAAGCCTCGCCAGCTCAGAAAAAACGTGGGAAAAAAGGAAATGAGAAGGATGAGAAAAGTGAAAATACGAATTCGGCAGGACCGAAGGGAAGAAGCACTCCAACTGCTATGGATCAATCGATCAATCCAATTCATGCACCTCATTCTCCGATTTCTGAGCAAGAGGAATTGTCTGTCAATGGCCAGAAATTAAGTGAGGCTAATGAGACTGGTAATACCGATCCGAGTGATGTTAATGATCAGTCTGCGGGAAAGAGTAGAGATGGTGAACATCTGGACTTTAATCTTGATGATTTCTTGAAGAGTGACAGTCTTCCTGGGGTCTCTAGTCTACTTACTAATGGCGTGGGAGCTGATACTGGCAGTGGATCCAGGTTTAGCCAGTGGTTCAAGAGAGAGAGCCCTGTTCAGGACAGTCGTAGGGAGTCTATTCAAGATGAGTTGCTCAATAATTTGCTGAATGATATCACTGAGCCGAATATTCAGGTGCCATCGGTTAATGAATCTAATGCCTACTTCGCACCAATTTCACCTGCTAATCAAACAGGAGGCAATGCTGGTACTGGCACTAAGCTGCTGGAGATGCTACAAAGGGGAAATAAACTCAGCCAAAATGGACAAGGAGATGGTGGACATATGCTGGGAATCATGAAGAATACTACGTCCATTAAAGAAATGGGTAAGTCCCTTTTTTCGTTTGGTTACGATACTTCATATTATTACTTCACTATTTCGGCTTTGTGCAATTAATTTTCCACTCATCAGAAGCAATTGCTGATATCTTCTTATATTGTTTTTTGGTAAATTTCTGGGAAACCTTAGATCAGATTGACGTAAACAAATATACCGTTTTTTAAACTCATTATTTCATGACTCAGGAATAGTCACAGTGCGTATATTTGTCTAATTTTTTGGTAGCTTTGCGAATTTTTGCAAAACTTTATGGAAAAACGGTATATTTTTCCATGTCAATTTTAGCAATCGTTTTTCAGAAATTTGTTTAAAAAAACTTGGAAAATGCGAAAATATCGGTAATAACCAAAAAATTCTTCTATGATAATCACTTTTTTTACATTTTTCGTGTACACCTGTACTCTTAAAATATTCATGTGTCATACAGAATGAAATAGTAATTAATTTCTGATTAATGAGTAAGTGATAAGATAAGAACTAATTGAAAGGTACTAATTTAATCAATTATTGTTTTTTGGTTTTGTTATTTTTTGATTGAGCAGAAGTTAGTGGAAAAGTAATGCACAGTCTTGAAGAGCTGGAGGCTCGTATGCGTGGAGGAATACCTCCCTCACCGCAGATTGAACCACCACGTGTAAGCAAGACTGATGAGGACATGTCGGCATTCAAGAAACTGCTGGCTCAAGTGAGTGGTGGCCAAGCAGTGCCAGCAGCAAATGGGCCTATTGCTCCAAAGCAAAATACTCAGCCCATAACTCTCATGCAACTATTGAAAAATCAACCGGCGATGGGCGGTCCACCACCCCATCAACCGCCAATGCCAGAGCAACAGCATCCTCCATCGTTTAATCATGTGGGACCACTGGGACCAGCTCAGCATCCGCATCAGGCACAGATGCAGCATGAAAATTTGATGAAGGTATTGAGAATACAACAGCAACAACAAGCACAACAACAAAAACGCCAGCAACAGACGGATATGCTCTCGATGATGATGAGTGGACAGAGAATGATCGGGGCTAGTCCGGTGCCACAGGACATGCAAATGTTGGTCAACAATGCACCATCGAGTCGTGAACTTCTCCAAAGACCAGAGGCCCAAGCTATTATTCAAGGACTTCAGCAAGGAGAAATCACCAGACAACACTTAATGCAGCAGCTACAGGTTTGTTTCAATTGAATGGAGTCAAAAAAATGTCTTTGGAATGCCTCGCAAGGCTAGGGGAAATTACAAAAATCAATGTTGCCCAGGTATATTGTAATGCTCATTCTTATTGTTCAGAATCCAGCAATGCAACATCGTCATCGTGAAGTTCTAGTAAACATTTTGAAAATGTATGGAAACACGACTCCACGAACTGCCAGCCCGCATCAAGTTCCAAATGTTTCTCATGATTCAATGCTACAACAACTCCTATTTCAACAGCAGCAACGAGTTCCATCCCCCATGAACAACAGTAAGAGCCACCTCCACATATCAATACCTTATTTTTCAAGTTTGATATTTACTAGTACAATCTATGAATCGATCTTTACTCTTCACAATTCAGTGGTGAAGCGATAAAATGAGAGTATGTTCGGATAATTCTTGATATTTGTTGATATAATTATGCAAATTAAATCGGTTTAGAGTAGTTGAAACTTTTGAATAAGAAAGATAAAAATTGACAGAAATTTAAACTGAATTATAAATATAGAAAGCCTTTTTGACTTTAAGGAGTTATTGCTGCTATCTTCTAATTTCTCAAGTCTTTTTTATTTATTTCTAAAAGGTTGGTAAAATTGCAAAAATTTCGTATCAGTAATCTCGTTAACCGCTTGACAACTGAATTACATTCAAAGTGTGACAGTAGTTGTAGATTTATAAACTTCAAATTAATTTCGAAAACTACAAAACTTCAATTTCTGGAATGCAGCTCTTTGTCCACCATTAATATCGCCCAATGTGGCTGCAAATCCCAATACATTATCGATACAACATTCAGGTAAAAGTCTCTCTTTTTGGCAAAACAGCAGAAAATTTTTTAAAAAATGCTTAAAAAAAAATCCTTAACAAGGAATTGGTGACAGATTTTGAAAAAAAAACTCTTGACTCCCTTAATGTCTCCAGTGATGCCACACCGAGTGCCCTCACCCCGTGACATCGTTATGCACACCCAGTCAATAATCCAGAGTGCCCTGATTAAGACAAAATTGGAAGAGCAACGCGAGAATTATCGTAAACGTCAGGAGCAACAGCAGGCGCAACAAATGCAGTCACATCAGCGTTTAACGAGTCCAGTGAATTCACCATCTAAACAGATGATGAGTCCAACACCTCTGGCATTCACACCCACCTCAGTACTTCGCAAAATGACAGCTGAGAAGGAACCTGAGGGTGCGAATATTTATCAACGTCATAATATTGAGATAATCGTATCACCTGCACGCAGAATTAATCGTTACAATCGTAATCGCCCTCGATACAGTAATAATAATGCTAATGACAATAAGGAGAGCCTTGAAAATACAGTGGGGGATAAAGAGAACAATAAACAGATTAATAAGTCCTCACGGTCTGGTATACTCTCGGAGATGAATAACAATGACGAATTAAATAGTGAAGTTGCACTTAAATCGAAATATGTAAGTCAGAAAGAGAGTGATAAGGGAAAGGATTCCCTCGGTGATGATAAACAAAATTTGGAGGTAGCCATTTTGGGTGGTAATAATAACGATCCCGGAGTTGTTATTAATTCCATCGTTAGTGAGGATGATAATAAAAAGTTAATAACTGTTGGTGACGCTGAACGAGCCGATTAAAGAGGAAGATTCGAAATTACTTGAATATGAGCAATATGAAAGACATATTTTTTCATTTTTTAGAGATTTGTTTACATGGTTTTGATAATATAACATTCATACTTGAATATTGCTAATTTACAGGGGGCAATTCGCTTAATTTTTTTTGGTTAATTTTCTTCATGATTTCTTCATGATTTTTTTTTTCATATGCTTAATCGTGACTATATGAGCATGCCACTGATTACGTTTTTTTGCACTTTGCCTTTTTTTCCTTTACTATTTTTTAAAAATATCTTTACTCTTTACGCTTTTTTCATTTATGGTAACCATTTATTACGATGAAGTAAGAAACATGATTGGTCTTCACGAACTGATGGATCTATGATTTATATGAATAATACTATTTGCTATTATCTATCGATGATAAAACATATGTTGATGCTGGTTTTTACAATAAAACGCTTTATCTGGATATTCCCACACTCACATTGCTTCCCTCTGCTTACTATCCTAGCTTTCTTGCACGACTTCTTTTATGCATGATTTGTACTTTGCAATAATATGAAACGATGAAAAAATTGAAATATGTCCAACAGCGATACCTAAAATTCCAAAACTTGAGGAGAAAGGTATTGAGAGAAAAAATCATTGTCCCAATGAATTTTTATAGCACTACGTCTTTTTACTGCGCCTAACCCGAGCATAATAATTTAAAAAACACTATAGTCTACAGTTATAGCAATGAGTAATGTCGAAATACTTAGTCGTGGTTATTCAATAAATATTCCGAAAATTAGAAATTAAAGAGGATTTTTGGATAAACTTCCATGAGGGGCTCCACTTGTGCTTTAAAAAACGTAAATTTTTAGAAAAACCCCACTGTCATGCCGCAGTCGAACAAGTAAAACTGAATATAAGTGATAATAGTAAAAAAAAAGTTATGACCACTTATAGTACTCAAACGCGTATTAATTGAATGAAATAATTAAGTGTAAAGTAGAATATGAAGTGGGAAAGTGGACTAAACGATTAATGTTTGAATATAGGAAGCGCGGACGTATCAAAATTGGCTGGACAGAGTCAGGCAAGTCAAATGCAGCAGATGCAGTCTGCAGTGCAGTTGTTAGCACAGGGTTTATCAAGACAGCAACAAGGTACAGTTAGACCACAACCGAATCAGCAGCCTGCATGGTCGAATCAACCGGTCAAACAGCATCACCCTGGTAAGAGAATTGATCTCAATTGATGGAATTAACATGAAAATATATACCCGTCTTCAATTTTATTATTATTCAGTGTTCCATTAAGTTTTACCGCCGTCGGAGAATTTTCCTACGTTCACAGTAAAAATTTGCGAAAAATATGAAAAATGACATATCGGCAATAATTATTTGAGAAGACAAAGTTTTATTATTGACAATGAGCATCCAATGAAAAACGGATTATTTTGTGGTTATTAATTATGTATAATAATTTTTGCCAACAGCAGGACGACCAATAGTAAAGGGAGTTGCAGCGACTCAATTCCCATACGGTGGACCACCGACTTTCCAATCAGGACCCCCTCAGTCTCAGCTACAACAACAACAACAGCAACAGCCACAGTCACAACCTGTACCAGTCCAACAACAGAATCAACCGCAGCGGCCATCAACGGGTATTTACGGTAACCCGGCACGCTCGAAACACACGATGCCGACATCCCTTCCACCTCCAAATGTTCCTCAATACAATGTATCGCCAAATTCTGTAATTAGCCAAAGAACTAATATAATGAGCAATCAGGGCAAGCAGCAACTGGTGCAGACACATTTCGCTAATATATTACAGCATCAACAGCAGCGTAATATCAATTCACAAGTACAACTCGTCTTAAACCAAAACTACAATTCTAATCGAACAGGTAATTCCTGCTGTGATGAGACAAGATATCAATTTTGTTGTTTACTTTTCATCTTATTTGATTTTCTTTCGTCAATAATTATTGTCTTGAATATTACAATGATGAGTGCCTTAAAAATGAAACATCCAGCGATCTTTCCTGTGCACAAAGCTTTTTTTCCTAGAAAAAAGTTATATATATATATAAATAATAATATATCAATCAATTTGATTGACGACAATTCTATAATTGAATAATCTTGGAAATGAAAGTTACTATGATAAGACATTGAGAGAATCTTTTTGCATCAAAATTACGAATCAGCAATATTCCTTGTTATTTCATCATAGAATAGTTCATTTCTAGGATTATTTTGTGATAAAGAAACAGTTGACATAGAGTTCTCTAATTTCACCTCAATTTATAGTGTTTTCTCAACTTTTCTATTTTGAATTAATAATTTAATTTAACATTTTGAAGGAATCTGTAACTATTACAGATGACGCAGTAAAAAAAGATATTGCATGCAATGGTCACCAGAAACTGGCATTAAACAATCCCTGAGGCCTATTTTCCCATCTCCAAAACCCGACAACTCCCTTGACAACTTCCAAATCACCAGTAGAGCATCTTCTGATATGATTTTAGCACTTCATGCTTAAGTGGAAGCTGTTTTCCAAGTAGCCCTTCCTCAATTATTTGGCATGAAGCTTCGATTTAAACCAGAACGTTAGTTATTTTATCAGAACTATGAATAAAGCGTCTAACATTTTTTCTTCTGTTTTTTTTTTCTTCTCAGACGGTCGAATAATGCGACAACAGCAGCAGCCAATGAACATCCCCATGGGTAGACAATCTTCACCAGGGAGTAACGGTGGAAGTCTATCACCAACATCAAATCAATTAGCCAGATGGTTCAGTCCAGAGTTGCTCGCTAAAGCAAGGGCTGGAAAATTACCGGAGCTTGGTCAGACCAATGTTTTATCGTTGGAGGAACTTGAGCGATTGCAGCAGGCGTCCGCTGCAGTGCACGATTAAATACTTTTTAATTTCTTTCAATTCGATGGAATGAAGAAGCTCAAACGACAGTGAAAACGATTATTTTGATCTTTATTTCAATGAAAATAGAAAAAAAAAACAAAATAAAAGGGAAAATGATCGTATGATAATCAGCTCTTCGATCGATAAAGCATGGAAAGATCATTACCGAAAAAATGATAAATTACGGAAATATCCCGTTTTATACTGCATCCACGTACACGTGAGTGTTCCACAATGAAATTATTGTTTTAGACTGTATTTATCGAAAAGACTGGCAAAACTATTTCGTCCTGGTTGCAAAGACAGAATATAAACAGGGATGTTTAAAGACGACAACATTGAACAACCCGGAAGATCACGGATTTAATGGAAAATTAATTAGCAATTGAGAAATATGCAAAAAGAAATGGCCAATTCCGCTCAGCGCCATAGAAATCAAATCGAAGGGGCAAAAGTGTTTAGAAAGAATAAGTTTGAAGAACAAGAAGAATAAAAAAAACGATCTCCAAGTCACACGCATATGAATATTTACGATAAATAATATATAACGTTTTAGAAGTACAGAACGAGGATTACAGTGTTACCACAGTTTACGGGAGAGAAAAAATGAAACGGCATAATGAACTTAAAGGGCGACATCAAGGAGAGATAAAAAAAAACTATGAGCGACGCATTGGATGAAATTATTTTTAAAACTTAGGGTTGTGAAGATTAATGAGAATAATTAAACATTTAAATAAGAAAATGGATTTGTTAAATGGAAACGAGAACCACATTCCACAGTTGGAAATGAGAATAGATGTTATTCATTTTTCATGCAGAGTATTTCATCATTTTAGGAAATTGTCTCAAACAATTTTAATTTTTTTCACTCTCTAATTACTCCCTAAAATCTCAATGACCATTACAATTCATTGTTATTTGCATCAATTAATTTTTATGTGAATAATGATATTCTTCAGTTGCGGTGGAAGTCTCCGCCGAATTCATTACAACAAATCATCACAATTATTAATTTGCTCCACTCTTGTAAAATTAATTTTATAATTTTTTTCTTCTTGGGAGATGGATTGGGGAGATTCATATATTTATTTTATGTTAATGATTTATCTCCAAAGTCCATGAAACGTTTAAAAATGTCCGTAATGATGAAGGATCTGGACATACCCTGAGTGATCGAATGTTTGATCTCCTTCTTCCATTTCTTTGTAGTGAATTCATTATTTGTTCATTGAAAAAAATGAAACATGGTTAAAAAAATATTTCAATGTGAAAAGCCGTCAATGACTTCTCTCGTTAATAGTGTTGTTGACATAATAATGATCACTAATGGATGGAAAAATGATATTATGAAGGGAACATTCTCCCCTAAACAACGAGAAAAATGGAAATAAAAAACGTCTTAGATTGAAGAGTGAATTTCCTCGTTTCTTTTTCGATTTAAATCAAACTGGAGGGATTAGGGATCTAAACAACAATAAAAATTTTCAATAAACTCAATAATCATGCCAGTTCTTCAGATTCACTGTTAAGCACTCAGAACAAGCATTAAAGCATTTTATGAACCATTATCGTTTCAGAGACAAAAACAAATATTAAACTCTGTTCTTTTTCTTTCGATTATTTCTTAATTTTTAAGCCTGTGAATTGTTATTCAATAGGGCCCAAAAAAACATCACAAATCAATCATTTTGTGACCTGATTAGAGATTAAAAAATTTTTTTTCATTATTTGCGTTGAAATGAAATAAAACAAAATGTTGAAAAGTAACAATCAGTGCGATATTCTGGCTATTTAATTACATCTTGGAGCGTCTAAAAATGAAAAATTATGAAACAGAATACAACTTTTGTAAATAATAAAATTCAATGACGAGAGTGATGAAACGAAAATCCCAAAACTAAATGAGAAGCGGACAGAAGCGGATAACAGGCCAATTTTATCATTGCATGTACCGGCTTGATATTTTGTAAATAAAGTTATTAAGCGTAATCTGTGGCACACCAATGAATTAAAAAAACATTACGATTACAAGCGTATAAATTCAATACATGAATTTAAAAAGATCTGAGATCAGACACAAAAAAATTTAAACATAAAATACGAGTTCAGCGTAATCCACGAGACTTGTCTGTATTCTGATTTACGTTTTTAATACCGTAAATGACAAGTTAAGTCCTAATCGCGTAATTCGCGAGATCAAACAATTCTGATCAAATTTTGTCTTTTAAATTGTCAATCTCGTAATGTTGTAATTTATGAGTTTCAAACTATAATCTACATACTCGAAACTCATACTTTATAAGTTTGTAATAATTTACACGTTATCTCGTAATTTATGTGGAAGTTTTTTATATGGAGATTGAGAACCACTGACTCTTCATTTCTCCTTCGATTTTTTCCAACAGTTGAACTTCGTCCCTCTTGCCGCCCCCTGCCACCACTAACCCACTAAACTTCACTCGCCACAAAATGGCGGAACTCTCCTCAACACGCCAGGACAACTCTCCCCGAAAATCTCCCAAAATAGACAAATAATTTAAACATAATCCTTCAAAACCCCTCAAAAACGCCCTAAATCAAACCGGAAGTAGTTTATCAGTCTCTACCACCCCGTTAATCCTTCAACACGCGAATTTTCCAGATTTTTTTCAATGTTACGATTGTGCCACTCATCTTCTGCGACGACAGATCGTCAAAATCCTCCAACTCCATTTCCTCTATTTCCAAGCATATCTGTCTCTATTCTCCGGCATTATCATCCCCATAGGCATGAACTCCTTCACTCCATTCACAGCAATAGCCTCACAACTTTGGTAAGCTTGAAAAACCCACGGTAAGTAAAGGTGAGTGAAATATTACCTCAAACGAACGAATTTACGCAAAAAAAAACTGATAGTCTGATTTTTCAGTCGTCGAAGCAGAAAAATAAACAATTGAGAGGTCGCTATTAACACTTGTGTGACCTATTCGTGGTGTTTTAGCTCAGTTATATGGGCACTGAATTTGTGTTTGAAAACAGATTCCGTGGAAAAAGATTCGACCGTGTTACGTTTCTCGGTGAAATATGAGTAGATTGTGTTTACAGTAAATGAGAAATTAAAACCGGATGGGTGAGTAATACCTAGAATTCGTGGAATCGTAATATGAAGGAGAATACTTCGAATTATTCGCCTCGCGTATTAGTGAATCTTTTTTTTTTTCATAAAATGAATATCTGCGGCAGCCATTATGGGCAGATGGGATTGTCGGAAATACCCTTTTGGGCCAGCGTGCGGTGTTAGAATTTTACGTCACAAAAAGAATTTCAGTGACAGTGTCAGTCCATATTCATGGTTGTAATCCCAGGAATTAGACTAGTTCTAACAATTCCCAGAGATCTGATGTACTAAATGAAGAGACATTGACGTGACGGTATGAATTTGATGATAGTGACGTGTGTTAATGTGCAGAAAGGTACTTAATTGATAAAAATAGTTTTAATTAAGGTATGTTATCCATTGATATGTCAGCTGTAATTAAGTCATTAGTTTCAAATACTTGAAAGTTTCGCGAATTGATAGATATTTTATTAATTCGTCATGAATTGGTCATTAAAATACTTATTGCATCCAGGAGATGGTACATTGATCTATAATGACGTCTTACCCGTCAGAATCCAGAAATAATCTCAGTAAATGGCCTATCAATTTTTCGAATTTGAATACAAATTGAACTCATACGACATAAAAACATGGACATTTGGAAACAGTGCAGTGCATGATATATTCGGAGGGGGCGTGTTTCAATATCAGATAAGACAGAATATCTATAATAAAATTACATGGTTGTGTTAAGTGCCCATCAGCAGTGTAAATTGAAGATTCGAGAGACGATACAAAAAGTACAACATCATCTTTATAGTCACGTCAACGGTAAGAATGTGAATGTGTTCTTCAGAGTGAGGAAAATACTTTGAGAAAATGTCAGCACATTAGTGTCTTCTACACGAGTTATTAGAGCCAAGCTTGAAAATCGATGAAACATTGCTGTTGAAAATTGTTAAAGCGTAATAATACAAATCTCTGGCAAATGTCGCCGCCATTTCGTGCAACTTAAGAAGAAGCATTCGTCATCAGAAATTTCTTTCTGAGGCCTTAAATGTCCAACTTTCGTCAAAGTTGTCAAAGGGATCGATGTTACAACCGAGAGTTGAGCTTAGGTCGAGACTCGGTTCCATTTATCAGAACATATACATGAACAAATCGGTCGAAGAATTCCCAAACGGTGTGGGATGCATCGATCGTCTGCAGGTCGTAAAATTAAATAAATTTCCTTGAAATTTTCACCAGCATGTACTCGACAATGTCCCTTAAGGTATTGTCTAAATCTCGAAGTGAGGTTACGTTAACAAATCGTGGAAAGTATATCAAACTCCAAGAAATCTAATCAGTAATCATCTGCGATGTTATTAACAATTGCAAATGATGACAATTTACCTGGAATAATAAATTACAATATTGTTGGATGTAGTCAGCAGGTCGCATTCATGGCGCAGTTTGACACACCGAAGATTCAAAAAGGATAGTTGTTGAATCATCCATGATAATAACTTTTGGTGAATTATCCTCGTTCAAGACTGCCACAATTGTTCAAAAGAAAGTTTAATTATAATTTTTTACGGTGGTCTGTTCTTCCGTTGGTGCAACGTTCATTTTGATCGCAGTAAGTTAGTTTTCATGCTCCACTCAATCTACCGTACATATCTTTTATGATATTCGTTTGATTAGCAGCAAGAGTTTTCCATATAATTAAAGAATGTGGACATGGAAAAGCTTTTTTAAATGTATTCAAAGAGATGCTGAGTCCAAACGTGGACCTCGATATCTACTCTAATAGAAGAATTCGGTTGATGTTACCGAATAAATTGTGACTCCTTTTTTCCAATTCACTTGTATTAAATGCATATCCCTTGGAGTCACTTGTAAATATTATTTTATTCAATAAACTATCATTTTCTATGGAGATGTATAAATGCGGTGTTCGTAAAGGTGTTCGCAAGGGAGTGTTCGTAAATAATTACGGAATCTCAATTGATGGAACACGCCATCTAGGTCATATCGTTTGTTCAAAATCATCTGTTATATCCGTTGACATTCAATTCAATTATCATTTTTATCAGAATGATATGCGCTTAAAAGTGAGTTAAAATCATCCATCAAAGGTGAAGGATTTAGAGTAATGAATTTCAGTTTGACTGTCTTGTGGGAATTAATTGTCAAAAGCCATAACCTCAAAGAAGTGATTCCTGAAGTGGAATTTGATGCTTCTAATCTGCACAGGACTTTCCTCTTTAATCCTTCCTTTGAGGATCGGTTCGTTACGATTTAGTCTACTTTATTTTTGACATTATCTCAGATTATGATTAATTATGAAGAAACAAACGGTTTTTTAGGTCAATTGAGGGTGTAGTAACTATTACCGAATGGTCATTTAGGCGACCATGTCAATGTTCAACGGAATGGTTCAATAATTATTAATGAATCTTCAGTTGTTTCTATCGCATTATTCGGTAAGAGTTACGGGATCGTGATAATATCGATCGAATTCTTTAATCAGTGTAGATGATGCATTAAGGATATTCAAGTATTTCGGTAAGTTATTTTTCGAACAATTCGTTGTACAGCCTAGAAAAGAGACCAAGAGCGAGATACTAGCATTAATTAACAAACCTAGTTGGATAAATATTGCGACCATATTGGATAATTCAAATCCATCATTTCCGGAAATTTGGCGATGAGGTAAAAGTGCCACGTGTAGATTATACCGCAAGTGTTGTGCAAAATGGTCGTGCAGACATTTTTTTGGGAGCATTACACCACCTTTTTTCTCAATGAATGCAAAAACGTCAACACATATTTTTAATGCATATTATCCTAACGACGATGATGAATCGGAAAAATTTAATTAATGCAAAAAGTAAATGAAAACGATAACAGAACTTGCAAAATTTTTCAGCTCGAGGAATACACTTGGATATCCTTAATTAAGAGGTACTGAGGGCTTACCATCGGAGTACTGAATTCTAATCCACATTTTTCCGTGATTCGTCGATTATTCGCTGAAATTAAAATTCTTAAATAATCCATGTACATATCCGCGACACAAGGACATGGATTCGAGATAATCTATGTATCAACCAATCGCTCTCTGATAGAAAAAAACTAGGATCGGGGCTTTTTGCACAAAGTTTCGTGGTGGTGCTATCGTATCCGTGCGTATTTTTCTTATTTTATAATTTTCTGTAAAAAATCCCGAAAAAATGTTCGCATGACTGAAACTTCATGAATCATTGAACAATAACGTCGATGCAATGAATAGCTTGCCAAAAAAATCAAAAGAAAGGTATGAATTCTGGCGGAAGGGGTGGAGAACATTCTTAAATAATGATATAATTTATAATAAAATTTGTGGGATTATCCGTGGTGTTCCGGTGGCGCTGTTGGAGCGATGTCCATCCGGATGGGCATAGGTCGCCCCAAACGCCCCAACCATCGGGGAGGGGCGGAGTTGGAGCATTCACTCGTTATTAGTAGATAGTAGGACTGTATGAGCGCAAACCAGAAGTTGTATTTCGCAGCTTCACCTTGAATCGAGAAACCATTAAAACTGTGATAAATCGTGACTGATCAAGCGGTTAAAAAACTTGTTATATGAGAGATACTTCGACTAATAAACGGTGGGTAAATTGTAGGTAAATCATTATAAAGAGAATAGTGAAATATAATTAGCCAAAAAAAAAATAAAGAGCATGGGTTTGCACGTGAGACGTTGAACACCAGCGGGATCTATCGTTGGTGGGGCACAGTATTCACCATCTGCTAACTGCTTTGAAGACCCCCAACCACCTTGTGCCTTGTGCCTTGTGCCTTGTGCCATGGTTGTACTCTCAGTATGACAAAGACAGTTGGGGGTTTCTTTTTTTATTCCCCGAAAAAAGGAAGAGAAGGGATGAGTGAGGAACAGGGACATGCCTTGGAGTTTGTCGCTATATTTTTTCACTGTTATTTATCACTATTTCCCGAGCCCTTGCACTTGCACTGTGTGCAGACTAAATCGTCGAGCGATTAGTCTTAACCGATAAAATAACGAGATCCAGGACAACTGCGTCATTTCTTCGACTTACTCAGGAATTTGATGAATGAGGATTGCCATGAGTTTATAATCAAGTGGTATTTGGATAAACGTGAGAGGTTAGCTATTTAATTTATCATCGAATTTCTGCACGTGGTTGGAAATTAATGAGACAATTGAATGGGTTGGGTTGAGGTGGGAAGAGCGTAGGTGAACGAGTTAATTATTGAAGTCATTGTTATTGATAAGAAATGTGCGCCGAGTGATATGACACCGTGGGGAGAATCGATACCGAAGTGAACAGTTGTGAGAAATAAATAAATGTATCAAATTAAAACAAATGAACAGTCGGCGATATCGCACAAGATATCGTGATTTAAATTAGTTTTGTTTGGTCAATTGTTGACTAACATTGCGGAATTTTGAAGGAATAGTGACTGTTTTTATACAGGCACATGCTGATGGCAATGTCCGTGAGAGAGATTTCCTTGGATTGATGTCAAGCAAAATGACAAGCGCTGAGAATAGCAAACGTTGAGAACCGTCAGAGTTCGGTGGTTTATGTGTATCAAAAAACTTGTGAGGCATAGAAATAAGGAAACAGTTGAGCACCTCAATTTTGCCTGACCGTTCCTGTCGAGAAACCGTCACGTCTAACCGAAATTTCATGTCCGGAATGAGTGCCTTCTTTGGTCGACATGTTTTTTAGTGGCGCATTATTTTTACGCTCATCATAATACACATCGTAATTATTACTCACGTGCTGTCCACACTGTGGATCTCATGAGGATTACAAAAATAATCGTAATACCATCATCACGCTAAATATCTGATGAAATGGTCATTCCATATAATTATTTAACAAAAAATATATACATATCAGGATAATCACATTCAATTGTCAGATTTTACGTAATAATTCGCTCAGATTCTCTGGTAGTTTTACAAAGGAACGTACGGTGTAATTAATAACCAGCAGTCGTCGATATTATTATGTTAAAATATTTGAATAAAAAAATATTGAGCTTATGAAGTTTTTAATTGAATTATCCATTGATGTGAATTATATTATGGAATGGTTGTGAATTTTAAATAATGTGATATCGGCACATGCGCGATTCTGGGAATTTCTTACGAAATGGATAGGTTTCATTGACGTATCTCACGTCATTTGAAAATTTTGCGATCGATTCCTCTTGTTCTGATGAAACTGATGAGATGATAATTTATTTAGTAGTGGTTTTAGATTTTTTAAATTTTATTGGGGAGGTAACAAGTTGATAATGTACAGGCGATTAATTGATATTCAGGTTGTAACGTGTACCAACGATAGATTTGCGGTGTTACGTAATTGAAATTCTAGTTCATTATGCTCAGTGTGAGCAATAATTTCTACATGTGATATCGTAAAATTTGGAATTGGAAAATTTTGGAATAAATAAGTTTTCTGAGACATGAATGAAAATGAATGGATTTCCGACGCAGGTGACATTACGAATAGGAGGATAAGATGGACGCCTACGAGAAGAAGTTTGCTGAGATGCAAAAGTACATTCCCTTCCTGGAGGCAATGATTGAGAGACTTCAGAAAGTATCTGATAAGTCTCGTGAAGTACAGCTGCACAAAATGCAGCAGCTTCATGGAATACTGACGGACAGCAAGAGAAAGTATGTGAATTCATTATCGGAAATGAAAAAGACCAAAAAAATTCATTGCATTAAATTAATTGGAGATTCTCTCTATGATATTCGTGCAATTTCCAATTAGTCAGAACGTATGCAGAATTCGTTGAAAGTGCAATTGTTTAGTAATAGAGATATGGAAACGTCAACTGCTGCTCTCAAAGTATTTTCTACTGTGTTTTTAATTTTTCGTTCGTTCAACCTGCATACGTTTTGTTTTATTTTTTTTTGCATCATAAATATTTCACTGCACTTATCATATTTAAAACAGCAGAAATGCTTGCATGCTTGGATATTAAATATCTACTCCTGATGAAATGTTCAGTTTATTAGCCTCACCGAACATTTTTTTCGTACAATGTTATTCTGTATTTCAACAGATTGAGGATTGAAACGCTCCAAAAATGTGAAGATGTGCTTCAGAAACTGCACAGTAAAGTGGAAAAGGTATGTATCAAATTTTCGTCATGGTAAATAGCAATCTTCTGCTGACTAGAAGATCCCACATTTCATTAATAATTCAATAAGCAATTGCGCTGTGCATTTCACAGCACTCGCTCCTTTGTTTTTAGTGGAATTGAAATCTTATGAAATCATTGAGCTTTTAATTCGTGCTGTATAAGGCTGTGTTAATATTTCGACAGAAAGATCTCTTTAGAACCGTGACTTTATAATTTCCTACAAATTTTCGAAAATATCCTATTTTTGCTGTAAATCGTTGAGGCACAGGTTAAAACCTGTAATTATTGGGTCATGCTACTAGTAGCAAAGATAAACTTCTGCGTTCTGGCTTACACCTAGTTTATTCCTAATATGCTTTATATTTTAGTTAGCTATTTTATTTTTATAAAAAATCATTTTATTTTAAGCTTTAGTAGTGCATGTATTGTAGCTATAATTTAATATTTCTAATTCCACTCGAGTTTCAGGGAACAGGCGGTCTGAATTTTCCTAGTAGTAAGAAAAGTGAGGAGTCATCAATACCAAAAACGTGAGTTGTTATGGTGAAAAAAATGAAAACATTAGGGAAAAACGTGTCGAACAGTTATAAATGCTGGAGTTTTTTTTCTTGGGAATTTGCAGCAAGGGAACCGAATCGGTAGTTAAACCGTCAAAAGAGGTGGAAAAGCCCAAAGAAAAACTTAAAGAGATGGACGAAACACCAGCGAGTCCGAGTCCCCCAGCATCACCAGATGAACAACCCGACGTGACGTCAGTTCCAATAATCATTCCCACTGAGCGTAAACAAGATGATTCTTCAGATAAAGTAGACAGTAAACCATCGAGCCCTGATCAGATAGAACGAGTGTCAACGAAGGAGCCAATTATTATCCCCACAGAGCGTAAAGATGATTCTACAGGTGAATTTATTGAGCATAATTTTCTAGCCAAATCGAGGAATGATAAACCATCTAGCAATGCGTTTCCCGACTCGAGAAATGCATCGACCTGTCGAACAATACCGACAGCACCAATTCCCTCGAAAACAGATAACCAAAAACAAATAAGATTAACATCACCAGAATGTCGATCACCAAGATCCAAGGAGCCTTTCATATCCCCCACGAAAAATGCGAAACCCCCTGCGCCACTGTTGATCTCACCTCCTCGAGCCTTAACAGAACCTCCGTTATCTATGGATGATCTGGCTGAACTGTTGAATGACGGCTCAGGGAATACCCCGGAAAGCAATGAGCTCACCACTTTACCCACCGATAAAAAACCCACCATTCCTTCAAAGTCTCGTAAAATTCGCATCGTTAAAGAAAAACCCTCAGATAACGCAAAGAAACTTGAGAAGGAACCTGCAAAAGCATTTGTCCTAACGCAGGAAGACATAGATAGGGAGAGTAATCGTCGATGGGAAGAGGTCGACAAGCATATTGTTCTATTCGGTCGTAAGGGTGGAGCTCCTCAGTCAGATCATCCTTCAGGTGCATTACCACCAACAGCCCCTAAGAAAGCAGAATTTCGGAATAGTCCGATGTCACCAAAGGGCAGAGATAGAGGCTCTGAGCCAAGATACGCTGACAATTATGAAAGAATACCTCGACATATGACAGCAGATCGTTTCAACAACCTTTCTGATCAATCAAAAATTCCGGACATGAGCATCATTAACAATGCCTTTTCGCGTCTGTCTGAAGGAGACAAGGCAAACATAGCCAAACTTCAAACTAATCTCCCAATTATTCATAAACATAATGATGGTTTTCCATCTGGTGAAGAAAGAGAACTGTTCTCTCGCCGTGGTGGAGGTGGTCCACCTATGGATATGGATATGGAATATCGTCGAGATGATGAATATTACATGCAGAGGTCAATGCATCATTCACAGAATCGAGAGTATTACAATCCACAATGGGGAGGATATGAGCATAATCCCCAGCAAATACCTGGGCATCAATATCCACATCCCCCACATCTGTCAAATCATCCCCATCAAAGTCACCCAAACCACCCTAATCACCCGAATCACCCTAATCACCCAGACATGTGGATGGGTCCGAATTCCGGGCCTAACCCCATGGAAATTCCAGTCCACCATATGTCTCCTCAGTATAGTCCCAATCTCGTTCGTCGGCCCATGATGAGTCCCTCCGGGCGTTTAGAAATGAATCATGGCCCTTACGGCGAGCCAAATTTCGCCGAAGACATTGGTCATTCACCCCAGCCACCTGCACCACCTGTTATTCCGCCATTAATGTCCACTCCACCATTCAATCCTCGAGGATTTCCTGAAAATCGAGCGTTTGAGTCGCCCTTTGAGCGTCCTACGGAGTTCGGCTTAGGTATGAGACAGGGCCAGTGGGAAGGCCGTTCTGGTGATCCAAATTATCCTGACGGCTTGAGAATCCGAGGGCCTGAGCCTTCCTACAACGCTCCACTGCCAGGGCCGCCGGGCCCTCCTGGTCCTCCCGGTCCCCCTTGCCCTCCCGGTCCACCCGGTTGGAATCGAGGACCTGGGCCTGATCTCCAACCTGTCAGGAATCGCAGTGTTGAAAGATTTCCTGGGGAACGAGTCAGCAACAGACCTGTCCTCCCTGAACCCCCGCATCCTGGTTTTAACCGTAGAGGTGATTGGGATCGACCGCCGCAGAACGACAATCCCCAGAGATTCAATCGCGAAGCGAGAAATGTGTCTGAACGTGATCCAAGATTCCGCAAGGACTTGAGTCCGCAAGGAGCGCACTCGCCCAATGCTACTACTGTTAAGAGGGATCCACGATTGGCCAAGCCCACAACACTTGCACAACATACGCTGCCTGCGGCGTCGAAATCGAAAGAAAATTCAGTGAAAAATCGCGATTCGCGAAGAAAAAGTTCGGAGTTAAAGGATCCGAATAAGCCAATCCTCGAATCCAAACCACCACGAAATAAAGACAAATCGAAAAATTTCGGAAAACAAAAAGAACCATCGAAACCCAGTGATGCTAAACCTAGGAGGCCTTCCGATGAAAAAACAAATGCTGACAAATTGATCAAAGATATGGAAACTATGCAGTCACCTTTGGAGAGTCTTTATGGAGTAATTGATACGGCTGCTAAAACGGGAAAGGGTTACGGTCTTCAAAAGTTCAAAATTCCCAAAATAAAGAGGACGGAACCAGCAGCTCCACCCCGCCCTCCAACACCACCAAAATCCAGTGTTACAAGTGAACTAGAATCCCCGGGCGACGAGTCTTCAGCTAAGTCTGTCGAGTCTGTGAAACCACTTTCGGAGGAAGTTGAAAAGAATATAAAAGTTGAGGATAAGAAAATGGAGGTATCAAGTACGACTGATGAACCTGCGGTGGACCCAGCAGATTTCAAAGTCAATGAGCGCCATCTAAAAGTGTCCGAAGCCGAACCAACATTATCTAATCATGTGTCAATGAAATGCGATAAGGTAGACGAATCGGAAGCAACAGTTGACACATCAACGCCTGTAAAAATTTCGGATTCCAATCCAGCCACTATGACAACGAAAGAGAGCTCCAAGGAAGAAGAGCCACCAACTTTCAAGAACGAAATCACGCGTGAATGGATTGAAAAAATGATAAAAACATCTTTAGAACAAGGAGAAGGCAAAAAACTTCTAGAACAAGCCAAATTACTTCAGAAATTAGGCGAGGGCTTAGCACATTCAAAGAAATTCAAGAAAATTCGAAAAATTATTGAATCACAATCAGAGAGCAGTTCTTCGGACACTGAAAAAATTATAGAACCAAAGAAAACCGTGAAAAAGAAGCGAAGAGTCATCGTATCCGATAGTTCTGAAGATGCTTCTCCAGACCGCAAAACTCCAGAAATTTCAGAGATCAGTTCTGCAGACAAGCCGACGACTCCTAAACGACGAGGAAGAAATGCTCGACAATCCAAATGTTCACGAGGCAAAGGGAAAAATGTCCCTGAAGAAGAAAAATCAGAAAACTTGAAGGAACTGACAATCGAATCTAAAGAATCTACAAATGAGTCTAAAGATTCTATAAATGACTCCAAAGATTCTATAAATGAGTCAAAAGAATCAGCAGACCTGTCCGAAGGTACTCTGAACGATTGCAAAGAACCTGCCGAATTGGAACCTGGACCTGAACCTGGACAGGACCCAGAATCTGCAGCTTTAAAACCTCGGCGAAAAACTCGCCGACGCAATTCCTTGGAGATGCTGCAGGAGGACATCCGGGAAATGTTTATCAGTGAAGGAGTTGTAACTGCAACAGGACATCGAATGTGCCGTTTGATAAAGGAGGCAGAAGGTAATTTAAAATCAGTTGATGAAAGAGTTAAAGGTATTTATGTTTCGAGTTCCCCAGAGCGCCATGACTCGGAGCCATCAGAGGACGAGGTGCTCTCGAAGCGACAAAACAGATCGAAGAGTAAAACTCCGAAGCCCCGAGAGGTGCCGGACAATGATAAACCTAAGCCTCGAACAAGAAGAATTCGAAAGCGCGCTGCCAAAAGATCGAAGCAATACGTGAGTAGTTCTGACAGTGACGATGATGCAAAATCCAATCTTCCACTTGTGTCACCACGTAGAGAGACACCAGAGCCCTCTAAAGACGCGACAGACTCTGAAAAACCACGGGAAAGTCTCGCAGATGAATCCGAAAGCACTCCGAATCTACGGAGAAGTGAAAGAGTGAGCTTGAGAGAGCCCAGAGTAATGATCGAAAAAACAGACTTGGGTAAAATAGATTCGTCGAAGATAATGTTCGACACGTCATCAGACGAGAGTTTTGGCATCGATGTGTCAGAGTTGACAGCGGCCGTCGATATTTCCCTTCACTCTGATCGTCAGAAAAGATCCGATGACGATTCAGAGACTATTATGAGCATGAATAATCTCGAGGAAAAGCCATCGAAAACAAAAAAACGAATTTCCAATGAACCGTCAATCGATACACCGAGTAAACTCGATGATGACGCTGCCAGCGTGGCCTCTGACGCGTCGCTCTCAAGCAGTCGCGCCTCTAGTGGCAAGAAAATAACTAGCACTTGCAAGCCTTCTAACACGAATGAAGAATTAATAACAGGTATTCTCGATGATTTTGTTCAAAGCAACGATAAAGAGTCGGAAAAATCGATTGATAAAAATAGTGGTATGGAGGATGACAAAGAGATCGAAAAGCCACGAAAAATCGTCAGGAAGAGAAAGCCAGTACTTATGAAGCGCAAGAAAAAACGAAACAATTGGCGATTGGGAATTGTTTCTAAAACAAAAAAGAACAAGAAGGCGGCTGTTACGCGTTCTTTAAAAGGCGGTAAACCCTCTCTTGCAGCTGATAATCCCTCAGAGCCTCCCGAGGAGTCAGAAGCTATGGCGCCGCTCGAACCGCCTATGGTTCCTCCTCCAAAGCTTGAGAAGATTGTCATAAATCCGATATCCGGTGAATCTTCAACGAAACCAGAAATCAAACAAGAAATAGGTTCTACTTCATTTGTGATACCCGACAAGAAGAAATCTATTTTCAAAATTCAAGATTTAATTGAATATGCATGGACGGGCCAAGAAAGATACAAATGTCGGTTTTGTGGCTTCAGTGGCAAGAACATAGTCCAACATTATAAGGCAGTCCATCCAAAGGAAGAGATGATGATATCGAGATTAACATTGCTCGATGCAAAACGGGCAATCGACGAATCCAAGGACGAAATGTATTTAAAATTATTGGATAAGCTGCATACGGGCTCCGATCGTAAATATGCTTGCAGATTTTGTGTATTCACAGCAGATGGACAGAAGGCCTCGGCAATGGAGACATTCTACGAGCACTGTACAACTCACACCGGCGAGTACAGATTTAGATGTCGGAGCTGCACTTACCAGACACCATTCAGGCCATCAATACGTGCGCATTACTATAAAGTTTGTCGTAAGAATTTTGAGAACGTGACGCTTGCTGTTGACGAGGATTCTATACCTGATGAGGATCTTGTTAACGGATACTTATGCTCTTCATGTCATTTTGTTCAATTGAAGGAGGAAAACGTGAAGAAACATATTGACAAGTATCATAAGGAGAATGATGAGACTGAAATTATCAAGATTGATATGTCCATTTATTTGGACGTCAAAGATCATGGTGACCATTCCGATATCGAGGATGAATTGAGAAATGAAGATCCATTAGCTCCTGATTCTGATGCTTCTACGGTTGATTTTTACGAATATTCGAAACAGAGGAAGAAGAAGATGGCTGTGAAGAGAACTGGAGTGGAAGATGTTTCTAAGAATGCAGAGAATGAGGAAACTGATGCTTCATTGCATTCGAAATCAGACAATCCACAGGAGGAAAGTGAGAGCCCTCTTAAGGCAAAACTCAGCGCATTTGTGTGCCCTCCGGACGTGGAGAAAAAAGAAGTTGAGATACAGAGGGAACGACAAAAAACTATGCAGGAGATTTTACAGAATTATGGAACAAATTTGACGAACAAGTCTGCACAAAAAGGCTTGTCAATTATTGATAAACTTAAGGATAAGATGACGACGCAGGGAAATGTGTCAGAAGCTGTCAGTGGTCTGAATTCCGAGAGTGGGGAAGACATGGATGAGTTACAGCACGATGAATCATCATTGATACCCGAAGTAGACGATGATAAACAAGATGAAACGCCAGCTGAGAATCATTCAAAATCATTGTCAAATCCACTTTCAGGTGTTCCTTCTTCGATTTCATCGCAAACAGTAACAAAAATTGAGCATTCGGATCACGAAATGAGCCAAGAGTCAGACCAAGTCGCTGACAAATCTGAGAAAAAACCACGAGATCCTCTGATGTCTCTCGAAGAAACACCCAAGGATTTCAATAGTGCAGAGGAGACGAGTGATGGAGAGCAAATTGGCGCACTAAGTAGAACTTATGATGACTCCAGTGATACCAGCGATGTGATATCAGATTCTGAACTCTCAACCGATGTAAACACATTCTTGAAGGAGACGATAAACAAATCAACAAATGCTCCGATGATGACAACGATCCAGAGACTTGCAGCTCAACTTCAAGGAGCAAAATCTACGGAAAGCTCTCCAACAAAACACGAAACATCAAAACCAATAATCGTTCCTCTCTGTAACCTTCGGAGTTTTGTGGAGAAACAAAATTTATTGGACAAATCCGTAGAGACTGCGAGCTCAGATACATCACGTTCTAATACACCCAAGAATTTTATTCGTCTACGAAGACTTAGTGGAGACAAATTGTCCTCTGGAACCCCAGTACCTGAGCCCGCTCCCCCAGCTGAGGAGGAAAAATCTCCAGAACCCGCTCCCCCTCAGATGATTTCGCCAGTAATTGAGGAACAGGAAGAGTGTTCCTTCCTGAAAATTGAAAATGTGATAAGCCTAGCACCAAATACATCCTCAGATCCTGAGAGCCCGCTGATCGATGACATAAGAAAAGCAGTGGCAACATCACCAGTTAAAAATGTTGGAATTTCAGTTCTCAAAAAATCGAGTCCAAACATCTTAAAAAAGCTGACAAGAAAACCAATAGGGAAAATTGATGGTATTCTCTCGAGATACACACCAATTGCTCCATCTCCTAGTCCATCCGGGTATGTCATTCAACCCGTTGCTGCCAAGAACTTAAATACCGCTACTAAAAAGAAAACCGGAGCCATCAAACCCGTTACACCCGCATTGAAGTCTGTAGCAATTCCCAAACCGATTGCTCCTGGCCCAAAGCCTGTAACTCTCGCTGCAAAATCAATTCCCCCTCCGCTGCAGAAAATTTCAACGAAGAAATTATCACCGACAGCTAAAAACCTTCAGGTTACTCATCAAGGTAAAAATTACAAGCTCCTGAAATTCGTCCGTCCTGCAGGTTTGAAATTGAAGGAAATGATGTCGACAGTTCCAACGGCGAAGGAAAAAACTGTCGATGCATTTACAACGATGCTGCAATCTCTTAAACTTCGACATTTGTACAAGTGCATGGATAAAGTCTGCACCTTCACAACAGACTCGACGAATGCCTTCGGTTATCACTACAGTGCTCACGCCCTGAAGCAGCCGACGGGGAAGGCTGAAGCGAAAGCGAAAGATAGGAAAAGCATCCATGGCTATCAAAAATGCGCCTATTGCCATGACAATACTATGACAAATTGGGATGAACTATCAGCGCATTATAAGAAAAAACATTCCTTTTGTGCTTATCAATGCGGCTACTGTTTTTATCGGGCATTTGCTCACTCCTATGTAGATTTGCATCAGAGTACATCCCATCCAGGAAAACCTTCCTCTGTTATTCTTGCCCCCAGGGATCATCATCCAGTGGAGATTATTGACAGAAGAGAACATGTTCATCCATTCGTATGTAAACACGAGTGTAATAAACTGTTTTACGTGCCCGAGGCGTTCATTGCACATTTGAAGATGAAACATGGAGCTAATTTATCGATTTTCAAGTGCCACATGTGTCCAGCCTCTGCTCTCAAAGCCGAAGCCTTGATATCTCATTACAAAATGCATTGTATTTACAAATATCAATGTTTATACTGTCTCTTTGGTGCTGATGCACCCATGGAACTGCATCTGCACCTCAGCAACGTTCATTGTAATCGTCCCCCCAAGATTCTTGAGAGGTCACTTCCACTCGCACCAGTCAGAGACAAAGATGTTCTTCTGCAACTGATCATTAAAAATCTTGACGAGGACTTCACTTGCACAGAGTTAAAAAGTGTCGTTGCATCTCCAATAAGGCAAAGAATTGAAACAGCTGCTAATAGTGAAATTGAAACAAGTTCTATCAGTGGGCAAATGACTACAGAATCTGAACAGGCTGAAGTGATTGATATTCTTGATGGGGAGGTGGAATCTACCGTAAGGCCATTATCAGATAAACTAATAGGGGCTGAAGGACCTTCAACATTGAAACTTTATGATGGAGCAGTAATAGAAAAACAATCAGCCACTGGGATTCATGACAATCCTCAGGATGTAAATACATCAACTGAACAATTGGTCCAGGAAGAACCTGAATTGCTTGTTAGGTACGCCACTAAACAATTAAAAACTCAAATCGACAATGCAGTTGATCCATTGAGTCTGCCAAAGCATCTCGACATGAGTGATGAATTTGTCAATATCAATGTGTTGGATAATCCCGAGTTCTTGAGGACTGCAGAGGAGAGAACCTCAGATCGATCGCCTGTGTTAAAATCTGGTGAGGAAGATAGAAATGATGATAGTGATATTGAGATACTGGAGTATATTGAACCTTCTAAAAAGCCAAAACTGCAGTTAACTCCCATTAAAGAGTCTCTTCGACCTTTTTTGAGACTGAAGGAGGAGGTGAAGGAGCCTCAGAGTGGAAAGACGACTCCAACGATATCTTTCAGCAGCAATGAGGACTCGAATACTTCCGCAGAGGCTAGTGGATCTACTGAGGTTACGGCACCTTCAGAGTTTGATAATAAGGACATTGAGAAGGCTGGTGAGGTTACTGAGAAATCTCCGTCGAATTTGAATGATATCAAGCATACGGGGCTCTGTGGAAAGGAATTGTACATATGTGGGTATGATGGCTGTAATTTTAGGGCTACCAATGCCGGGGGGATAAAGGTACATATTTGTAGTTGTGTTCATGCTGGCGAGAATCCACAACTCAAGTGCATGCATTGTACAAAAAAATTCATCAAGGTTGGCAACTTGATTGATCACTTCAAGATTCATGGCCTCAAGAGATTTGGCTGCTCCTTGTGTAATATGAGATATGCAATGGCCTGTCAAGCTATTGCTCATATGAAGACCAAGCACAAGATTTCGAGTAATAAACTGGTGCCTGTTGATCCTGGCAATCCTGCGGCTGATGCTTTATTCATCGTTCAACCGCTGGGTCCTGGTGAGAAGAAAGGACGCAAACTGAGCAAGAATAAATCCTTCGATTTCTCTCAAAAGGAGTCAACGGTCTTTGGCCCCAATGACATTGATAATCTTCCTAGACAAGCGATCTACAATCAGGAAGTTCGTTGTGCAGTCTGTCCTTACACTACTAAAGTTAGAACAAACATCATCAGGCATTTGCAGCTTCATGCTAAGGACGAGCATGTTCCTGAATCAGGTCCAGTCAATCCTGTTCCATGCTTGGATAAAAAAGAGAAGATGTTTGATAAAATGGTCAATCTCGCCAGTAGTTCTCATCAGAATGGACGAATGGGAGGAAAAAATAAGGAAGCCGTCACTGACAGCGAAGCTGAACTGATGCCGAAATTTGTTCCAGAGAAACAAAGGTAAATTAAAAATTCGAGCTACGCCTTTTACGGAATTCATTATTCCTTATAGTTCACTCTTATTTTTTATATTTAATAGAATTTAATCAACAGTATTTTTTGGGTTCAGGAAAAAAGTTGTATAAACACATTCCGAGGAAATATGATATCTCCACGTTTTTTTTTTGAGTTCCCTGAGCTCAAGTTACTGGGAAACTTTCCTCGAAAATTTTCGAGGGAATTCTGAACGGTTTCAAGATTGACTGATGAATCTTAACGGTTTAGGGAAATTCGAATAATCTCGGGACAACTTTGAGTGATTTTTTTTTCAATATTATTTTTTATTGGGGTAAAAAACATCTCGGGAAGTTTCCATAAATATTGATATAATGATAATGGTAATAGAAAGGTAATATCAATGAACTTTTCTTCGTTGACTTCGCAGGAGGAAGTTGTCTCCACTCTACTGATCTCCAGAGGAGACTAAGTGTTAATCACAAAGACCAAGAGAATATTTGTTCGAAAAAAAAGACCTCTCTGTTCTTCCTTCCTATGAAATGATTGTTTATTTATGCCATCGGTGCCCGTAATCGCACGATTCTAACCTCGCTTCGCTCGATTAAATCGCGGTTGTAAAACTCGCCCACGAGTCAAAATTATTAGTATATTATGCAACACGTGCGTAATATATTTTTTGACTCGTGGGGGGTTTGTAACACGAGCCGAAGGCGAGTTTTACAATCCCACAAGTCGAAAAATATATTACGCACGCGTTTCATACAAAATATTATGTCATCGCGCCCGCGATTTAACCGAGCGAAGCGAGGTTATAATCGCGCGATTCCGGCACCGATGGCATAAAATATATTACGCACGTGTTGTATAATATACTAATTTTACCGTCGTTTCAATTGAATTATTTCTGCGAATGTTGAATTATTCCTCAACGATGATTTTCCATCGCCTGTCAGATGACTTCGATGACTTCGATTTTAATTTGCAACATTTGCCGCTAATTTTCAATTTAACATTCATTTAGATACGTATGCTGCGTGGTGGACTGTAACTGCTTAACGATCAACGAGGATTTATTGCGTTGCCACCTGAAAGCATTGCACCCAGAAGAATCTTTCTTCCGCTGTCCTCACTGTCCACCTCCAGGTCAAGACACCCAGAGTATACCAATCGATAAACTCGGTGTGCACTTGAAAATGCACGACACTAGACTTTACAAATGTTCACATTGCAATCATCACCATTATCACAGGTTTGTAAACACCAAAATCTTCACTCCTTTCACCCCGATATTTCTTCATTGATTTTTAACAACTGCAGACATCGGCAGTCTCCTCATTGGGCCGAAGGCGTTTGCCCACTTGAATTACTCAAAAAATCGTCAAAACTTACCAAAACTCTCAAGTAAATCAGCATTACCCTTTCACCCATTCAAAAATCAAATAAAAAATTCTTTCTTCCTCCACAGACACGTAGTCGAACGTCATTTAACAGACAAACATCCAGAGAAGAGGCCTTTTGTCAAGGTAATTCGTGAAATAGAGAATCCAGAGAGTCTTGAGAAGCCCCCAACGGATGAGCCCGATGACGGCCTTGCAGATCCTGATGGAAATCATTGGAAGTGCAACATCTGCGACTACAAATGTATCTACAAAACAGAAATGATAACCCACGCCTCAACAACCCACGACGAGAAATCTCAGTTCAAATGCACAGGCTGTTCGTTCAGAACATCTGGCAAGATAAGTTTTGAGCAGCACATCATCTCCAAGCACATCAACGAACCTGAGGTGGACTATACAATGGTTTATGAGCGGATCAAGGGATCTAAGAAGCCGGATACTGTAGAAACACCTCCTGTCGATGAGCCTTTCGACACAACTCCACTGTGGCGACGAGATATGCCACGAATCCGACACATCAGGGGAATCCTCCTCGAGGAGGATAACGTGAAAAAGTCCTCGGACTCTCCAAAATCAGGTAAACGAAAATCCGATGTTGACCCCAGTCCAAAACCCGCCAAGATGAAAGCTAAAGCATCTTCGTTCGATGGCACTGTAATTATTGAGAAAGGAAAGAATCCTGGAGTCTCGAAGGCTCCTGAAAAAGTCTATACTGATGCAGAACTTCAAGAGAAATTCGGCCCTTATGGAAAACCTAATGGAAATTTATATACTTGCACAATCTGTACGAGTTACAGTTCGAAATATCGTCAAGACATCAGAGATCATTTATACATGGAGCTAAAATACTGGAGATGGCACTGCAAAGAATGCGGACATTTGACTGTCTCTCATTCTAGAATGTTGAAACACGAGAATAAAGTGCATAAAGATAAGAAACCAGCGACAGTGGAGCTTATAGATAAGGAAGACGTTGAGAAATGGGTGTTGACTCTGATGAATACTCAGAGAGATATCATGAGAGGAGAAGCTGGGGACTCGACTTCCTTGTCAACAAAATCAAAGGTTTCCATTTCTACAAGAGTCTCGCCACCTACTATTACTCTTGAGGACTCTGGAGAGAAAATAGTCCCTACTTCAAATCTCGAAACCACGATAGAATCATGCAAAACCGTTGATCTTACTGCAGCTATCTCAAAACTAACTCGAAACGAAGAATCTGATGATGGAGATGACGACGGAAATGCTTTAGTTATTGACAGCAAAGAACTTGATGATAGCAAAGACGTTTCTCTCGATCAACTTGACAAATCGTCTCCCAAAGATCCCAAAAAAATGTATACCTGCAAACACTGTAATATAGAATTTGCTGGGCTTCGAGGATTCAAAATTCATGTGCAGATAAATCATTTGAAACGTCTTGCCTTTATCTGTCCTTATTGCGACAGAAGTACAAACTCGGAAACAATGATGAGGGCTCACATTAGAAAGAACCATCAAGGTGAACCTGAATTAATCATGAGAAATCCTCAGGCTAATGGTCCTGAATTGAGCAATTCTTTTTGGGAGAAAGAATATGGTATCGTGATACCGAAAAAGGTCAAGAGAAAGAAGCGCAAAATTGAAGAGGTGGAGGATACAACAGTAGATGACAGCAAACTCCCACTCTCTGATATTTGTGGTAAATGTGGATTCACTGCAATTAATTCTACAGGATTAGCTGCACATATGAGGGCTCACGCTAAGAAGCACTCTCTCAAATGTGTACACTGCAGTTTTACAGCTAATTCACAGGTTGACATCTGGCAGCATTCCGAGATAAATCATCCTCAGTTAGATTGGAAGGCCGAGGAGATTAGATCAGCTGGCTCTTCCACAGATCCACCAGTTCAGCACGTCAAGAAGAGACATGTTGAGGATTACAATGAAGATATTGAGGAAGAACCGGCAACTCTGTCCACTACAACACCTGACCCGACTCTTAAAAAGATCTTTACTTGTTACTATTGCAAAGCCGTAAGGAGTCTCTCTATAGCTACGATCAGAGCCCACTGGAACCAGTATCATAAAGATGTTAATGAGAAGTCGATTTACCCAACTGGAGTGCCATTTAAATTTACGGAATCTGTGAATGAGATTTCGGACACTCACAAACCGGTAAAGTGTGGCTACTGTCCCATGAAAGGTTCAGCAGTTGCTGTTAGGGCTCACATAAGGAAGAAACATGCTGGATTCAGTTATAGAATTCTAGAAATAGTCGATGATTCTCAGGAAATTTGGATTTGCAAGTGGTGCAATGAAACGGTTAGAGGTGTGGAGAAAAAGACATCCCATCACAACATGTTTCATTCGCACTTGGCGATGAGATTTTGGAAAGAGGAGACATTAGTGAAGGAGAAAGAGAAGAACTGCTTTGCCTGTCCTCTTTGTCCATTCACTAGTGCCCATTTGGGAAGAATGAAAAATCATGCGTTCAAGCATGCTGAAGTTTTCAAGTGCAAAAGGTGTTTGAAGACGTTCAATAGTCTTCAGGCGGCCACGCAGCATTCCACAAATGAACATGCAGGATTAGCTGCGGCAATTGAGAGATCTCTTACTAATATCGAAGCTTTGATGTCTAGGGTCATTCAGTCTGACGTGGTGAACATTCCTGAAGATGAGATTCACTCTATGCCCCCTATGGATATCTTCAGGAATCTTGGAGTTGCTCGCAAATCAACCACTAAGCAATTACTGAAAAAAAGCCCGAGTGGAACGAAATCCGTTGCCAGAAAGTCTACACATCCTCTCCCAAGATATCCTCCTGGCTTGAAATTTGATATAGAGGGATTGGATGATAGTGAAGTTGAGAGTTTAACCAAGCCTCTCGGTTGGAGCTATTACGGAAGACCACCAACCCCTGTAAATCTCGCCAATTTGAATACTGTGATGTCCCTCGGGGTTGCCAAGATGAAAGTTAAATGCACCAAATTGGCAAAACTCATGAATATTGATGCTCGAGTAGTTCTTGTCGACTTTAAGAAACAAAAAAAAGAATAAGATGATTTTACGTTTGTGGAAATTACCTAGTAATCACACTACATGAGGAAGAATCATTGAAATTATTCTCATGTCTGTTGAATAGATAAAGCTGATTTTCCCTTCGTTTTTCCTACCGTGGTGAAAAAGTGGCATTTTTTTACGACAAATAGTGTCGCAAAGTGAGAGAAAGTATTAATGGCTCGACGAAAAATTCAAGATCATCGATGGGAAAACCCCAAAATGCTTTTGAAAGAGATTCGATTCATGGAGAACGAATCAAGTTGAATGTTCTGGATTATTGTCAATTTTTTTCTTTTATATATTTTGACGTATGATTTTTAAGTACGCGTGTCATATATTCTAGGATCACCGTAAGCTACGTACATTTCTTAAGATAAAGATTCATTGATTTTTCATATTATTATGCTTGGAAATTTAATTTTAAAAAATGGAAAGCGGAGAACCCTTTCCTCTCAGTTAATCACAATCATTCTATTATGTTCACAAATTCCAACGTTCTAGTGATTCATCAGAGTGGATCGAAAGGACTTAATTGTATGAAAGACAAGACTGACGATTATCCCCTACTCAACAACTATCAGAGTATAAACTCTGGCTGGAAAACATTGTAAATATTGTACTCTAAAGGAAAAGCACTTGAATAAAATATTTTTAATTTTTATAGAGGCGACTCTGGTGTTATAATTATTTATTTAGAAATAAATCAAACAGCCATTATTTTTTTACAATATCAGTGCAAAAATGAAGGCAGGGGAATCATGAAGCGCGATATAATCGAAAAAACAAACATATTAATTTATGTATTCAAATTGAAGAGTATATAATCTTATGTATACTTTTGTCTGCGTTGTCGGAATCTCTTTAGCCCTTCAGAGAAGAAAGTCCAGCTCTCATTATTTCGTCGACTAGGAGTAGATTGCTGGCGATGACGGTGCTGCACAAATAAAAAAATAAATTTATAAATTACTAAGATTAAAAGTTTACGATAATTCAATTAAATAATAAATAAATAGAAGCGCGCTATGCCTTGGTGATTTAAAATGAAACAAATTATTTGGCACTTAGACGCTTTTACGCTATAGTAACGATATATATACACATACATATCACTTACCACGAATTGATAATTTGTTTCTTGACAATATAATTATCATAAATGCCAGCATCCTTAGGTTTCAATGCCTCACCACTCGCAATGTCGAGTCCCACGGGTTCTCCAAGGGTGTTGCTCTCTTCGAGAAGCTTAACAATAGTGAACTGAGAGTCGAATCCACTATTAACAGCCAAAGTCTTGGGAATGACCAGAAGAGCTTCACTGTAAGCTTGAATGCCTAGACGGAGTTTGCCTTTAACTTGTTCTTTGTACTTGCTCAAAGCCATGCTTGCCCCTATTTCAAAAGCACCAGCTCCAGGAATGATGGCTTTATCGTTGATGGCATTGTTGATTGCCCTTAATCCATCCCGGACAGCGTCTTTAAGTTGCACAAGAGTGTAATTGTTCGGTCCTTTAAGTAAAATTGTAACAGAGTTAGGCTTCTTGCACTCCTCAACGAAAGTGTACTTATTCTCCCCGAGAACGTGCTCGTACACTAATCCTGCCCATCCCAAATTCTCCTCTTGAAGATCATCAACTGAATTCATCGCTACTCCACCACAGGCAAGAGCCAAACGCTCCATGTTTCTGCGCTTGGCACGACGTAGTGCCATTATACCTTCCTTGGCAAGGGCGTCTAAGGATGGAGGATCAATTCCCTTCTGGTTGATGATAACAAATGTCTTGTCGGTGCCATTGCACAGCTTACGTTTCAGCTCGATGATTTTCTGAACGCGGTGGTCGATGAATTCTCGCTCAGCTGCCACGAGTTTTTCGCGTTCTTCGGCGGTTTTGTAGAAGAAACCACTGTTCACCTGTGGCAAATCATAGGAGAAACAATTATGCAGGGAAATGGGTGTTAACTATTTTTTTGAGTGGAGAATGTTGTGAAATATTTCTTGGGGGGAGGAAAGGTTCTGTACATCTGCCCAATCATAAACAATTGATAATTTTATATCTTGAAGGAGTCAACTGCAAAATAAATTAATATTTGCATAATTTTTAGACAATTTACAGGGCATAGAATATACTATTACCGATTTTAATTTATTCAAGGTTTGATGTAGCAGATTTGACGCATTACTTACTTCACTCTTCTCGTATTCCAAACTGACATTACAGGTGAGAATGTACGCATTTTCAACCCTTTTAGGCATATCGGGATGTCTGGATCCGTGATCCATAACAATACCTCTGATCAAAGAGGTATCGGCAGCAGTTCTGTGCTGCATCTCCATAAGCTCAACCATGTGAAGATCCACAGGTTGATCATCAATTTTTATAGCCAATATGGCATCGACACAAACTTCAGCGAGTTTATCAGCCAGATTCTGGTGAATTTTTGTCCTCAAGGATGTCTTAGCGACGTCGAGGAGACTCTCTTTATCGGCTGACACGGATATTTTTAGGGACTCAAGGACTTCTAGGGTCTTTGCACGTGCAAGGTCGAAGCCTTCCGCCAAAATCCTGGGGTGGAGCCCTTCAGATATGTAGAGATCAGCTTGCTTGAGGAGTTCGCCGATTACGAGAACTGTACTGGTGGTACCGTCACCTGTCATGTCGTCCTGAGCGGTTGATGCCCGGGCAACCAGAGAAGCTGTTGGGTGCTTAATTTGCATCTCGTGGAGGAGTACATTTCCGTCTTTTGTAATCTTTATGTCTCCCGCCCCAGAGACCAACCTGAAGAAAATGCCAATCCCTTCTCAAATTTTCACCCGAATGATTGATAATGAAGAATCAAATCAATAGAGAAATCTCTTGATAACAAGAGTCAATTATTATGCGGTGAAAATATTTTTTTTTCATCGTGATTTTTGTAGAGGGACTTTCCTCTTTGATGAGCAATTTTGGGCCCTCGGCGTTTAAGGGTAATTTACGCCCATATATCGTACAAATTAACGATTCTTTGTCTTTTTCGCATTAATTATCAATCCCAGGGGATGACAAAGATAGATATTACATGGAAATACATATTCTAAAAATTCAGTGAAAGCTTATTCAGTGCCTAATTGAAATTGAATTCAACCGTATACAATTGAAAATTCAGATGATATTGAAATGGAATGTTCAAGAAATTTTCAACAGGGGAACATGCCGGTTACATCCAATATTACCAAATAAGGACATTCTGTATGTTGTATGTACAGTTCTAAAACGGATGAATTTGAAATATTTCACTACCTCAATAAATTTTGAGTTTTCTTCTTATTTCCAATATATTGACATGTGTAATACAGAAAGTCTCATAACTAATAAAAAATTGGTGATTAATTGAGGAATTTGAAAGCACGTGAATGCTTACATCTTCATGGTTCCCCTGGGTCCAAGATTGGTTTTCATCACCTCCTGGATGCCTCTAGCACCAGCCATATTCACCGCTAAAGCCTGAGATGCTCTCGCAACCTCGGCTTTTGGATTTAACAAACTAATTGCTGACATTATGCGAATTTAATTAATTCTTCAAATAAAACTTGATTGAAAAATGAATCAGTCACTCCACGAGAAACAACGCCAGTGGTCTAGAAGTTTGTAATTGATGTAGATGCTCTTTCCAGAGAAATTATTCAATGGCGACACTCCCTCTCAGATCAAGATGTCAAAGCTTGAGTCGGTCAAACAGTTGAAGTGAAGTATTGTCTTCAAAATTACGCGCGAAAAATGAAGGTAAGAATATTTCAAAATACACCGTAGCGTGGACGTTCAATGTTATAATAAATTAATTTTCTAACTTTTTCGTGAATTGTGCAAAGAAAAAAAAATTGCTTTTTTTTGTCTTAACAAAAAATCTCGTCTCTAGGGTCTATAGTCACCCGCAAGTTTGGTGACATGTTTAGTTTAATGAGACTGTATTATCATAAAAAACACGATTGAAAATCATAAAAATCTCAAAATTAATTGAATTCTTAATTCCAATTAGCCACCCAAGACAACGGTGAACTAATGAGGAACAATCGTGACAGGCTTCCGAGATATCGATAGTTTGCAAGGTCGACCTCTCCGTCCTTATTCGAAGAAGAATGAAGGCAGTGAATAGAAAAATCTAATGGTCATTTTACGAATTATGTTTTGCTTGGATAATGTAACATCATTAGAATCATATACAACAATTATTACTTATATTACAGAATTTATTTACAAATCATCAGGTTTTTCATTTTTCTTATTAGCTCGTCTTTCGTTTCTAGCTTTCTGCATATCCTCGACATCTTTCTTCGCGGCTTCACTGGGGAAGAGAATGTCTGCCATTTTATTGGGATTTTCCAATTTAGGATCTGGCGCTGACTCCCAATGTCCGTAGAGTACTCTTCGCATTGACAGATCATTCAAACTGTCTATGTCAATGTCATCAATATCATTGGGGGGTAGAAGTGCAGCTACAGCGTATCTCTTCTCAGCATTCAAGAAATTGAATGTCGTACAGGCTTTATCGACCGGCAAAACCTCGTGATTGATATCAAGATTTTTCGCAATACTCTTGAAATCGTCTATGAATTTGGTCCCTCTAGGATAATTTTTGTTTAGGCCTAAGATTAATATATCTGGCCTTGGATCCAAAACTCGAAAGAGACTCAGGGAATCCTCGTGAATGTCGTTTTCCGTTTCAATATTCCAGCCAATCACGGTCTTTGGGAATATTATCATTGGGCCTAGGATATTTACACCAATATTTAATCCAAATCCTTGCTGAAAGAGATTCGAATAATCAATAGATGCTAGAAACGATAATTGCTGGAAATGATGCGCAATTATTTTTACGATCATATCTGCATTCGTCTGTTTGTAAAATTATTTGTAAATGTTATGATGAAAGAATAACGAAAGTAAATTTACCATTGAAATTTTATCAATCATTAATGCGTAATCGATATCTCTATTTAAGATCGTCACCGTAGTTTTCCCTTCTCCTTCATAAGCTCCCTGTCCTATTTTATGCCGAACCGGCAGGGAATGCCTGTAAAATATACAATTATGACAATTGCATGGATTTTTCATGTTATGGTTTATCAACCAGAGTATGACATACAAGTCGGTGATGTTCGTAAATGGTTGATATATTTTAATAAATACCGTATTAATCGCTTGAAGTTGTTTCTCAACAGTTGACAACATAAAGTTGACATTTTTAAAAGGAATTTTCGATTGAAGGGCTCTGAAGGTTATGTCACATTGTTAGACTTGAGAATAGATTAAAATATCATAGTGATAGCCAAAGAGAATTGACTGAAGCAGAGGCTCCGTTTCGGGGGGTTTGAGTGACCCCAGTGGCATCGTAGTACTGCACCCCAAGAGAGGGAGGACGCCACACGCAATGCTGGGGTGTTTTTTTTTTATTAACCAAGTTTTTATTGCATTGCTGGGGTGTTCATCAAGTCGACGGGGTGAATTTTATTTTCTGCGGTATGAATGCTTTCTGTTTTTCAATTGTTTAACTGAAATTTAGCCGACTGTAGAACGTGCGGAAGGGGGAAACTACATCTTGTGGAATTTCAATGGAAAAAATTATTCAATATATTGAAGATATACCACTAATGAAATTATATTTTTATAATAAGCGCGTTGTCGATACCAGCATCGTTCATTTTTTCTTTTTTAAATAATTTCAATTTTTTCTTTTGTAAATGGCTAATCAATCGAAATAATGGTTAAAAACTGAATAGCTCCTCGATTTTCATGTTCCCCTGATACTTTTTCAAAAATTTCGAATTTTTCACTTTCAGTGAA